AGTGTTGTGAGGACAGCGCCAGTCCTTGCATCCCATAAAACAACCGTGTAATCATTCGAGCCACTTGCAAGTTTCTTGCCATCAGGTGAGAAGCACACTGACCACACCGTGTCTGTATGCTTCACCAGCGGTTCGAATACCTTCTGCTTGCTCTCGACCTCCCAGATGATGATGGTTTTATCATTTCCACCGCTCGCAATTCGCCTGTCGTCGGGTGATATGGCCACGGAATTCACCCTGCGCTGGTGTCCTTCGAATGGCCCTCCTACCAATGCTCCTGTCTCCAAGTCCCAAATTTGCAGAGTTGTATCATATGAACCAGTGACGGCCCGTCGATCATCTTTGAAGAACGCGACTGCAGTCACGTTCTGCGTATTGCCCTTTCGTTATCCGCGTTGGTGTCAGTTTCCCTTCCGTTATCTGCGCTGGCTTCGGCTGCCGTCTCAGAGTGAGATTCGCATCTCTTGCTGCATCAGGCACCCCTGACATCTCACGTTGACCTAGACAGAGATATAGACGGTCAGCAGCATTTGAAGTTGACAAGGACCGTACCTTTAGGATATCCTTGTGTTGGGGGTCTGGTGGTGAGTACTGTTGGACTTCTGTCCATGACCCAACTCATATAGGCGCTTATTCAGGGGTACTTCCGCATTAGCAAACTACAATGTCCTCTACAGCTTTGTACAGAGCTGTACAGAAGGAACCAAGCTGTGGCGAGCCATTCTTGATAGTGGGAAAAAGTGTTTTGCTGATGTGTATCTGAATTTCATTTGGTTTTTTCCATCATCACTGGCCGCTTTATAAACGCCCGTCATGTATCCGTAGCCCCTCCATTCTGTGCACGAATCCGCGTACATCTGCTACTACCATATACCACGGTGTGTACCGTTCTGCAACCATATATTTCCTCCACTCGATCATCTTTCATCATCCTTTGTAACGCACCCTACTTCACCACAGAGCATCTAATCTAATATAATTAATATAATAAAGCACAAATAGCCGCCGGCTGAAGCCCAGTGATGTCCACCACGTCATGCTGTGTCGTTGTGTCGTTGCTGTGTGTTGTGCGTGTCGATGTCATTCATCGTGTTGACCACGTCATGCTGTGTCGTTGTGTCGTTGCTGTGTGTTGTGCGCGTCGATGTCATTCATCGTGTCGACCACGTCATGCTGTGTTGCTATGCGTTCATAGTCGTCCACTGTTCTCTCTCCTATTTACAGTTCTTTGTTCATCACCATGGCGACTTCTGCTTCATTTCACGGCGTTGTTGGTATTCAAAATGGAAGCAGATATCAGATCGACAGAAAAAATTACTGGCGATACGACGGATTCATTGTCACACCAGAAATGGGCGACGGAAAATCTGTGCATTCTCTTCATCTCTTTGCCAATGATGTACGTCACTTTTCGATTCGATTCGATTCATTTTTTGAGGTTCGCTGATATTGGATAGGACTTACAACCTCTTCCTGATGGCGCACGCGCCTTTCCAACATCAGAAAAACTCTCCCCCCGGAAATTACTCTAAACTATGATAATTCTCGATAATCCTCAAGTATTATCTCAAAATATGGGCTTTAGAATGATTAGTTTGTTTAGAAAGACTTTTTTACTCCCTTGTTTAAAAAGGATAATTATCATGAATTCGAAGCCAATATCATGAATTTCAGAGAGTGTATTTCGAACGTTGCATAGCAAATCACACGCATCAAATGGTGTTACGAGCAAAACAGACTAATATTTGATCAAAGGATATACATAACACAAAGCTGACTTGGAAGACTAGGCAAATTAAGGTGTGATACATGAATCTGGGATTTTGACAGGTATAGATCAGCGCAAATACAGGACCTAATCATCTGCCATGCCATCCAGATCGAGTAGCCCCAGTGCATCTCAATGCTCATTGGCGAAATGATCATTCCCCTTCCATTTCAAGGTCCTTCGAGTAGCAGAGTCAGTATCCGAGTTGAAACAGCACCATGTATACCCACAAAAACTTACTGTACAGCTTTGTAAATATCAGCCATCATGCAATGAAACTTTCCTGGTGCATCCCTCTTCAAGTCCTCGAGGAACTTGACATGAAACACATATGTCTCGCTGAATTGATTCCCTGTAAAGTTGAACTTCCCTGGTGAGCCAAGTGTCTTCCAGAAAAGGGCTGCATAGACCTTTCAAACGAATCAATATAGCAAAAATATCAGTAGAAAGGATGGTACCGCTGTTGCCACAAGTGCCAGTAATGGAATGGGGCATTCAGGACAATTGCCCTTGTTGTTCACCAGTTCGGCAAAGTGCTCGGCAAACTTGACGCCGATAGACTTCACACTGCTGAAGACTCCCTCGTATATGAGAAAGATCAGCAGGTCACCCTGGTAGGGTTTTTTGCCTATCGGCAAAGCATTGTCGTTCGACTGTTGATGAAAAATGTTAGTTAGAAGCTAGCGAAGACCAACAGATGAATTTACTCATGTCAAACCTCAATGCATATATATATGCATGCTGAGACGAAAGTAACTATTGATGTTGGTGCAGGCAGCCACTTTCAGGTCACGGCGCAATAATGGAATGCATGGCTCCACCTCAAGTAATCAAAGATAGTTAAAACATCAAAAAAATTGAGACATGCAAAGGACTTACTAAACTAGCGAGGTGAGCAGCATACTGTGCATCAGTTTGAAGATGTTCTTTAATGGTGTGTGCACCGTGATTCCCAGCCACTGTTAGTAATGACTGCAGAGCAACTTGGTTTTTGTCAACAAGCTCACACAGCTCTATGGACGCCCAGTGAGCCTATGATGATGGTGAGCTGTCAGACTTGTCACTCACCATGAGACTTAAGAGGTGCAGACATTGTATATAGATTGAAAGGACGAGAAGCTAACAAAGAACATTGGAAGGAATGTTTAAGGTCGAAAGAGTACTAAGGAAAAAGCAGTGAGGTTTGGAGGGCTCCATTAAATTTTAGTGCACGGCACTAGTTTCAAGGGGCATCGCCCGCAGAGGCAGTTCACTTGGTGAGCTCATTCAAGGTGCCCAGGTTCAAATTAGGTTCAATTGAGCTGACATCAGATGCTAGGAATTTTTCACGTGCCAGTGTATCATTGATCGGGGGCTGCTCTCACTTTACACCTTGATGACAACTTCAGTAAGTTTAAACTCGTGTGCCAGTGTATCGTTGATTGGGGGCTGATCCACCTCCTCTACACCAGTTCTGTTGACATCTCGTCCGCCTGCAAATTTTAGTGTTGCCATTTGAAATCGCGTTGGAGGCAGTTGAAGTTTTTGCATGCAAAGTTGATTAGGTTAGTGGGATGTCATTACAGTGCTGTCATTATGGTCTCACTCCCCAGAAGTTTTCACTCCCTGGAAATTTTCACCTGCAGGGACGCAATCGCACTCGTGCTCTCCAGATTTGTACTACTCTCATATTGTCTTCGTGAGGTCATTCGCACTCAAGGTCCTTATCTCCAAGATTGCAGCAACATAGTTATAGTCCAGTTTGATGGTGTACTAGTCATGTCATTGACTATATTCTTTACCACTATTTGCTAAGGATAGAGTCACTCACAGTTGTCTGAATCTAGGAGTCCATGTTGGGCAAGTACGAGTCATTTTCTTGTTACCTTCAAAATCAGTTCCACTCCTGTTTCCGCCAACAGTCAAGGTTCCCAATCACTTCGCTTACATCAAATGGTTTGCACCATTTCCTTTGGCTCCTGATCAACAGCACAGACTTTACAAGCTCTTGCGATCATTGCATGGTGGTGAAAAAATAGCAAGTATCGTGCCATTGGCAAATATTGTGCATAGTGTCCATCTGATACTGAATTTTGGTGCCATTGTCCCACGAGGGTGGACGAGTGATACAGTTCTCGATAATTGTAACACTTTTTGATTGAACTCATACATAGATAGATATACATTTTCTTTATTCAAATGATTATTGAGAATCTCATCGTACATTATCATCTTTTAGCTGGTTTTATCCTAATACCTGTAGTTACATAGAATTCTCTGAATTACATTGTTTTATGAAATTTATGTGTTTTTTCCCCCAGGAGGTTTTTCCTGATGAATGGTCGTCATAGCAGGCAAAGTTTCACGCAGTGCTTTTGCAGTCAAGCAAGAAAATGGGTTTGATATGAATGTCTCTTAATGTGTTACTGGTCCTCTACAGAACATGCAAGTCCGCTGCTTCTATCCTAAAGCTCATCCACGTTTCTCCAAAACTCCTTTGCCCACTGCCAGTAAGCATGTTGTCGTTCAAGGCACTGTGCAAAGTATTACTGCAGAATGCTGCACTGTGACTGTGAAGGACATTGCTCTCGGACCTTCGGACATGGTTACAACTGTTGACAAGAATTCCGAAACAGTCCCTTCAACTTCACTCAAGCAGTTTGATTGGGGAGCAGTGCAAGCAAAAAGAGAAAGGGAAAGGGAAAGCAAAGGGTAAAGAAAGAAACAAAGAGGCAGGGGAAAGTGGCAAAAGGGCACATGATGATGATGATGATGATGATGACAAAGATAGGGATGGAGCCCCTTCAGTGAATTCACCCATCTGAGACAGGCAGCCAGGCGTGACAATGTACCGATAGAGACGAGCCATCCGGTGTGGGCCGGTGGCAATAATTGTACTGTGATAGACGAGTGGGCCGAGGGTGTGGTGTATCCGAGGTAAACGGATGGGCCGGGGGTATATAGTATGCATGGTAGTATAGCAATGTACTATATAGGTAATTATGAATGGTGGTGAATCCAGTGTGTGATAGTGAGTGCCGGTAAATAAGGTGCAATGGAGACGAGGGGGCCGGGTAATAGGGTGCAATGGAGACAAGTGGGCTGGTAGATGAGGAGACAAGTGGGCCTGTAGATGAGATGCAATGAAGACAAGGGGGCCAGGAAATAGGGTGCAATGGAGATGAGTAGGCGGGCGGTGTGGGCTGGTAAACGAGGTGAAGTCGAGATGGGTGGGCTGGAAGATGAGATGCAATGTAGACGAGGGGGGCTGGTGTTACGGGATGCAGTGGAGACAGGTAGGCTGGTAAACCAGGTGAAATAAAGACGGGTGGGCCGGTATTGTGGGGTGCAATGGAGACGGGTGGGCCGGTAAACCAGGTGAAATTGAGCCGGGTGGGCCGGGGTGATGGGGTGCAGTGGAGATGGGTGGGCCGGTAGACCAGGTAAAATCAAGACAGGTGGGCCGGCATTGCAGGGTGCAGTGGAGACAGGTGGGCCGGTAGACCAGGTAAAATAAAGATGGGTGGGCCGGGGTTATGGGGTGCAGTGGAGACGGGTGGGCTGGTAGACCAGGTAAAATTAAGACAGGTGGGCCGGTAGACCAGGTGAAATCAAGACGGGTGGGCTGGTACTATGGGGTGCAATGGAGACCGGTGCATGCATGCAAAATCCATATTTGGTGGATCCATACAGTAACTGGCATATCCATGATAGAACCACTGGGGGATTCATTGTATAGCAACACAAGATCTACCGGAAATATATCTTTGAATAACATCACTTGTCTAAATATTTACAGTCTGTTGACCCAGAGTGCTCAAATCTATTCTATATCAACTGGGTCGCTGAATTTCACATTGCCATATTTTGCATAATCTGTGCTCAGAGTCCTGATGAAGTTATGAATGCTGTCACACATGTACCATGCAGTGACAATCCGGTTGCCTTCTTCTACATTCATGTAATGTCTCACCAGGCAACATGATGAAGCCAACATTGAGCTGGAGTTGTATAGAAACTTGATACCAAGGTGCATAAAATCCATGATCACCGGCTGATAAACACCAGCGGTCATCATGATATAAAATGCCGCCGGTCGGCACTTTGGGTCTCTATGAGGTGGTGTCCGGCGATTGCATATGACTGACACAACATTGAATATGGATGTCCAGCATTGTAGATGATGATACATCTCATGCAAATGATATCGGGTCGCCCATTCGCCCAGCCTGACTTGGGTTTCCATTCCGGCCCAATAAAGATCAGGGTGTATGACTCGAAGTGCAGCCGAAACTAGTATACCGGACCTTTGAAGGGAGGTCGTAATATTCCGACCGACATCACCTTTCAGTGCAGCGGATACCTCAGGCAAAAACCCATCTTCCGGGTCAAGATTTGGGAAACCATGTTTCTGGAATACTTAAAACCGGCGACTTCGATGCATATGGACTGGACGTACCTCTCTTCCTTGCTGAAACCATGCAGGGGATATATTGATGCAACTGGGCGTGATCTTCCCATCCAGACTTGGATGAAAGTTGGACTGATGGGTCCTCCATTCAACAGTCCTACCAGTTGTTATGCTGTGCTTCAATAAATCACTCATGGAATGTGTTGCACCATGCATATCTTGCTGTTATGTATGTCCGGCTGAGCTGAAATGAGAAATGAAGATCAATGAAAGACTAACCATCATCATAGCAGTCATTGCTCCAGGCAAATACCAGACAATGATTCTACCTCTGGAATCGACGACGACGGCTGGTGTTGTCAAGAAATACTCCTGTTCAGGGGGGAATCTGTCGAAGAGGGTCTGCTCTCGTTTTGCACTTCGACCAGATTCATCTTTGTCCAGGGCATCATTGTATCTGACCATGTCTATTTTGAGATGAACTGTATGGTGGTTAGTTGACCGGAATTGGCCGATGGACTGGCATACCTACCGGCATTGGAGTATGCAGTGGCCATCACATTGGCAAGATGCTCTAATGCAATGCAAGTGTCGATGTCCAAGAGTCCAAGGTTCATGTTTTTTGCCAGTCGTTGATGAATTGTGGACATGAAAATCTCGTGAACTAATTCACCGGCAAGGTAGGTCTGATACAAAGCCCAGTCTAGTGGGATTGCGACCATGTCTGGAGAACCAAATGAGTGATGGAAAAACACCACTGTTGAATGATAGCCGGAGAGATAGCAGTTGGAGAAAATAGCTTCACATTCACACGGCCTGATTGCAAAGACAAAAACCGGTGCTTCTCATTTACATTGCAGTGAATATGACAGTAACATATGATAGTATAACATATTGACCGGATGCTGGCAGATGTCAGGTTGTCCTTGACTACACCCAGGATGCACTATGCACTGACATCTGTGTTCAACCGGTCAATAAGTGCCTGTGAGGATGCGACAGCCGTTGTGAGTTCATCAATCGGCCCAACCAATCCGGCCAACCTATCACTTGAGCTTCTAAAATTCTTCATCCTTCCCTGTGATATATCCAGCAACTCTCTCCCAATTGGCGTTTTGTGGCACTGCACAAGAGATGTTGAACCGGTTGTATCTGGCAGCGGATCTGGGCCCTGAAGAATATATGGGAGCAGGCCAGACCTTACATGATCCGGCTATTTTGGATGTTGTGAGCATCTGGCAAAGATTAACATGATCTGAGGGACTTACGAGTTGTGAACAGTGAAATCCAACCAAATCCATCACATCTTGGATGGATGACTTTGGAACATATCGGACACCCGGCAAGAACCGAGACTTTCCTTCCACCAGTCATTGAAGTAGTCCGGCATATGAGCAATGTCATAGTCATCGCATGCGTTGGAATCAACAGAGAGGTGCAATGCCTTGATATCCTGCAGGATAGCATCAACATCCAGTCGCCGGTCCACCAATGTGTGTGCGGTCATGATTGCAAGCACACCCTTGAGAAGGTGGGGAATGACAGCGGACAACTGGGTGATAAATGATATATTGATGAATGGAGTTACAAAGGTCTGTATGACAGTGTAGAAGATGAGTGCAAGGGAATATCAGCATTGCCAGATAGCTACCTCTATCTCCCATTTCATCAAGATGTAAAAATTTGTAGCATAGCCAGGCATGTCAGTGGCAAAACTCTTGTCAACATAGAGGCACATGGCCAACAACTGGGAATTGGCATAGAATAAGGCATGAGAGATATCCCAAGCAGTGATTTGATTGCCCTTAGCGGCAATGATGACTTGGTCAGGGGGGATGAGAGTTACAGTATTGGTCATGGAGGGAATGTGAGGCTGTAGTGAGACCGACACTCAGAATTATTTACATGTGTCAACCATAATTTCATATTACCTAACTGGTGTTATGAAAGATTCAACTGGTACCAAGAATTGTCCAACCGGTACCAAGAACTATCCACACAGCACCATGAACTATATATCCAACTGGTAACATGAACCACCCACCTGGTACCATGAACCATCCAACTGGTGGCATGAACTATCCGACCAGTACCATGAACCATCAAACCGGTAGTTCTGGCTGACCCATCATCTTCCGGAAAGTATCCTCTGCATGTCCTGCTAGTTGGTGATATATGTGAGATTGTCGGGCAGCATAACATGTATGTCCGGTGAGCCCTGCAGAAGTCGCGGTGTCCATGTGACTGAGCCATTGCTTGGCTTTGTGGTTAAAGAAATTAATGGACCACTGCATTTCATGTTTGACGAGAATAACCTCCTCATTCCAACGATCACGCAGTGCTTTTGTCCGGAGCCAATTCACCCGATAAACTATTGAGAATATGTGAGACCGGACGTCCTGATACCACCGGATACAGCAGACACTCACATTCTGTCATCCAGTCATTGCCTGATGTGTCGCCCTGAACATCCAAGGACCAGAACCATGAAAGAGTTGTGTCCCTTTGACCACGTGCATTGGGATCGGCCACTGCAGAGCTTGCTTTCAGGTCTTCTTTCTTCAAAGGAAGGTATTTCTTCAAGAGGTCGTGGTCAGGGAGATTAGCTGGTTGCAACCTGCATTTCGAATATATACTGGCATTGAGATTTACTGCTGTTTCCACCAAGCAAACTTGAGTCCATGCCCTGGTGGATGAGGCCTGTGACTTGGCTGACTGGACAGTATTGCGGAATATGACGGCTTTATCTCCCAAATGAACTCTAATGGCATGGAGTGCATCATTGGCCTGGCCTTCCTGAAGGGTAGTTTCTTCTTTCATGAGATCCATAAGACCTAAATCCTTGCACCTGACCTGACCAATATTGGATGGCAGGGGTATGACAGTGAGCTCCGGTTGAAATATGGAAGTATCGTGTATATCCGGCTCCGGATCATCATTGAGATCGGAGTTGTCTTCATAATCATCTGGGGGTTGTTACGCTGATGGTAATCAAAGGAGGTTTTCAAGTCAATCAATCTACTAGAGGTGGCACTCTAGAGAAGTCAAAGGAATCAAGATGGATTTACTAGTGTCTAACTAGTAGTCTGAAGATGTATCTGGGTAATTCCAGTGTAGGTCAAAATGAGGAATCATCAAGACTACGACCTGCTTATATACGATAGTAAGTCAGGGTCCAGGGTCTAGGGTAAGTAAGTAATATGTCCATATAAGTATAGATGAGTGTCCATGGGAATACACATGGTGTATGCATGTTAAGGGTCTGTGAGAATACACTAGGTATCAGCATGTAAGTAATATCTGAGGACTTGCCGAGGATAGATCGAGATTGATCTCAGATCAATGAATAAGGTGAAGTCGGAGAGTAACCCTAGATAGGGTGATATCAGGAAGTGGTGACACTGTGACATGGTGTCAATGTGAAGAGGTGAAGATGTGAAAGGGTGAAGAGGAAAATGAAAGGTGTCACAGACAACCGTAACAGGAGTGAATTATAAACTCTGTTGACCAGCAAATCCAGGTCGTTAACATCGACTTGAACTCCAAGATAAGTAGGTGCCACCATGAGAAAGCTTGTGATGTGAGTTTGAAGCTTTTCTCGGAGTTGGGCCACTCTCAATAATTGCATGTCTGTGGGATGCTTTCCCAGCCGTTTCACATCCCTAGCAAGAGAGATTTGAGATTCCTCTATGGTGAGACCGGTTGTGAGCCGGGTGGCAGCTCCTCGGTGACCAGGGGAGTTGGTGACCAGATGTTCCGGGCGATTTTGAGCCTGCAGGAGGTGCAACTCCTGCTGTTTTCTAGTGGGAGCTGCACATGGCCGGATGATAATCAGAACATGATCAGACCTACCGGAGGAGCGGTAGAAGTGGACACTTACCCTTTTCCAACCGGACCTCGTAGATGTCCATAGCTGTTGGATCATCCAGTCTGTTCACATGAGCGAGTGCCTCCTCTGCCTCCCAAAGAATGACCATGTCAGGGTGAGCTGTTTCACTGAGATTTTGGAATGCAATTTCGCTCTCCACAGCACCCTTGATTGCCTCTTTTAACTTTCTGCAGAGAAACTTAGCTACAGGGCAAATCAGCCGGAAAGTATTATGTATTAAACCGGAATATATTTGAACATCCAGAGGTGGGCGACTTACTGATGCAAATCATTTTCATGAAGTTGCAATCATTCATCTGATAATCCAATACCTCCTTGCGATGCGGGGTTCCCATGCCCCTGGCTGATGGGGAGATGATATTCAAAGGCGCCCAGAGGGTCTCCATGATCTCTCCATCTATCCTGCCAGCCCTGTGGATGAAATTTGATGCATACCGGACAAAGCAGCTGTCTTGATGGCCATGTACATGCCACAAACCTATTCCGGGAATGATATCCATGCCGATGGGGATGGAAAGATATATACTGGAAGCGATCCGGTCCTTCAAATACTTGTTATACTGACAATTTATGTCATAGAAAGTTATGGTTCAAGAGATTCCATTGGTCTTATAGTTGAGTGCTTGACTCAACACATAGTCCATGTTCATCTGCCTGATTATTCCCGGTAAGACCTGTAAGCCCAGAGATCGAAGTGACCAGATGCGATGCGTACTCACCTTTCGCCCCTCTGAAAATCCATCATGGAATGTGGGACAAAACATCCATGCCGTGCACATGCACACCCTCCTATACCGATGGCTTCCAGCCTTTGCCAGGAGGCGTTTGCTTGATTGACTGCCCGGTGATTGTTGCAATCTGACTTTTGGACATGCTCTTGAGCAATGGACAAATGACTCTTGTATCTTTCATCGGAGACCATGAATGTGAGACCATCCATCAATGATACTTCGTTGGATGGATTCACTGGATGCATGTGCTTGGCTTTAAAATTACCATCCATGACCAAAGACCTGGTGATGAGCCAAGAAGGTGTGTCGTCAGGCTGGGTGACTACACCGGTAGACAGGTCCAAGTTTATCCCAGGTTGCGGACATGCAGGGCAAAATAGGGCGAGATCACCGGCCATTGGCTGGTCATCTTTGTGGGCAAATCCATGCCACTTATAAAGCTTGCATTGTCGCCACTGCCTGGAAGTTCTCATGAGCTCTCTGTAGCGATCCTACAGATATTGTTCTTTAATGACGGGATGGTCAAGTACAGAAAATGACACCTAGCTTACCGGAACCGTCAGTGGAAAGATGCTTGAGGTTAGTCTGCAAATTTTGCTGTAGTAATTCATCACTGATGTCCCGCACTTGAGATTGTCTAGCAGAAAGTCGTCCAAGACAGAGAATGTAAATGCAGTTTTCAGTCTGGTGAAAGAAGCTGGGAACAAGCCTGCTTGGAAGAGCTGCATGTCTTGGTTGAGAGAACTGGGGCAGTGGCAATACCATATGGAAAGAGAGTGAACTCCGGACTTGTCCACTACAGTTATGGCTGGATGATCTGAATTTGTGACTGGTGGGGTAGAAGGTCCCTCCGGATAGTTGTTGTAGTCTATATTTTCATCGGTATCTGACCATTCAAAGACGTCTGACATGTAATCTGTGCTGCTGGGACATGGAGTACCGTCATGAGTGAGGTGAATGTGGAGGCCAACTTTAATGAGCGGAGTTTCTTGAAAAAATGATCTGGTCCATTGACTGATGAGCACATATTGCAGTAACATATCTCTGTATTATACAAGTGAGCGGACGTGCATAATATCCTGTATGATATGGGCCAGTGGACCATGGGCCAAAGGTAGATATATCCTTGACTATGACGGATGGGCCGGAAGTGTTATTATTCCTGATGGAGATGGGTGGGCCCATGTAGGGAATATGTAGAGTAGATGAGTGTGCCGATGGACATGAATATTCAATAGACGGATGGGCCAAGGTAGTTGGATATTATGTAGATTGGTTTACCAAGGTAGATGTGTATCAAATAGCCAGGTATGTCAAGGGTGCTTGTTATCACATAGACGGGTGGGCCGAGGGAGTGGTGAAATATTTATTATATATATGGGTGGGCCGAGGGAGCGGTAAAATATTTATTATATATACGGGTGGGCAGAAGGTAGTCGTATATTGCATAGATGGGTAGGCCGACATGGGGGTATATAATATAGACGGGTGGGCCCAGGAGAATGATAATTGTAGACATGATGGAGCACAGGTAGTTGTATATCATCCAAATCAAAGGAGGTAATAATTCAAAGTCATCTAATGATGTCGTATGGCACGGAGTTTTGCAAAGGGGTGAAGTGGAAACTCGTGTTCCAGGCCCTGTTCATCAAAGCTTTGAGATGGAAGAGGAAGGTCTTGCAGTATGGCACGGAGCTTTGCAAAGGGGTGAAGTGGAACTCGAGCGAAGTGTACCAAGTTCCGAGACCTGGGTCTTGACAAACGAATATGTGATATCCATCACACTTCCAATCATCTGGTATTTCATTGAGCAATGGATGATAATAGATCTTTGAAAGCCAACATCATCCAAGCCTACCAAATGCCAAATGCCAAGTTCCGACCACCAAAAATTGAGTGGTGTACCCGATATCCAAGCCCCGACTATCGAATCCCGATTATTGAGTATTGAGTCCCGACTATCGAGTCCTGAACATCGAGACCCGAAACCCGAAGCCTAAGATTTGAGATTTGAGACTCAAAACAAAACAAAACTCAAAACTCAAAACGTGGAACTCATATATTTTTACGAGTTTCGAGTGCCGAACATCAAGTCCCAACTATGGAGTCCCAACTATGGAGTCCCAAAACATGAGTCCTGAACATCAAGTCCCGACCATCGAGACCCGAAACCTGAAGCCCGAGATTCAAGACTCGAGTTTCGACCATGGACTCCTGGGTATCGAAAATCGAGTGAAGTGTACCGAGATCTGAGGCCCGGGTCTCGACAAACGAATATCAGATATCCAACAGACTTCCAATCATCTGGTATTTCATTGAGCAATTGATAATAGATAATAGAACTTTGAAAGCTAAGATCATCCAAGGCTCCCTTATCTGATCCTCTCTATCTCCACCCCCTTTAACACCAAAGTGCAGACATCCAGGATTCAGCTTCTGATCTCACAAGATCAATTCAATCATGGATGTTTCTTCCACTTCCGATGATGAAATAACCCTCTTGTGCACTTGGGCCCTGACTGTCACTCATGTGGCATGTGAATATACCGAACAGAAATTCAATGCAGAGAAGACAGGAGGAGACCAAGTTATACCTTCTCCGAACCTAGACACTGATCTGGTGATGGCTTGTGATCGATTGGTTGATCAGCTCATAAAGGCATATAAAAATCCCAGTGAGTCTTCCTGCAGATTCGGAAAATTCATTTGATCAGTCAAATTGCTTCATCACAGTTCAGATGCCGATCAATATTGCAAGATATAGCAAATTGATCTCCCTGAAGGACACAGGACATAATGAAGAGAGGCGAGATTGCTCGAGAGGTGTCCTCCTGGCCATGAGGGCACAAAGTTGATCGACATACCCGCAACAATTCTTGATGCATCCAGTGCCATCATCGCATGGTACCTCCCGGACACCCTGACCGATGCCACCCAGGTGTGTTATATATATTGTTACTGGATGGATATTGAACATCAAATGGTACCTACAGAAGGAAATTTGGGCAGCCTTGGATTTGCTCGCTCCGATACTCGAAAAAAGCGTAAAGCTTGATGGGAATTGGCGTACTAATCAAAAGTGGTTCACACCAAGGTCGCAAAATGATGTCCTAACTCCCGGATGCATTAATTTATCTCTGGCGTGGTTTCAGCAGGGGCACAAGGTAGGATCTGATGAGATGGCAATCTAGGTAGTTAAGCTCACGAATCCCCCAGAATCAGGTAGACCCAGCGGTTTCTGCATCATTGAATGGAGCATCCTTGGAGGATATCCTGAAGGCCATTGCGAGGCCAGCAGCCATTGCAACAGCGGCACTCAGGGTTATGCATCCTGAGCAGTACTGGGCAGGGTTGCGAGCCTTTGCGAGCCTAGAAGAAAAAGCACAAAGCAAGGAACTGCTGAAGATGTCAGAGACTCTCCAGTACTGGGCAACTGTGTTTAACAGCCTCTCTGTCATTTGCAATCAGGAAACCCCGAATCATCGAGACCATTCATCGATTCCCGAATGCTTTGATATTCTCACTAGGGTGGGGAATTATTCTAATGCTCGGATGAGTATGCCAAGCCTTCAGCTGGAGTTCAGGTACGATCCGGGGTGTATGATTGCTTTTTCAGGAAGGATTGTCAGACACGGGGTTCATGCAGTGGAAGGGGATCGGATTGCCTGGGCATGGTATATGAGGGATGCTGTTCATATTTATGCCAGGATTCTGTTGTGTGGATGGGCAAGGTTGGATTGGAAGAAGTAGAAAAGGTAGTTACCTGTGTTAGTACCCACCTTCCAATACATGATATTAGATATCAGGCACTCCATACTTGTAATTCGGGTTTCGGGTCTTGATAGTCGGGACTCGATATTCCAGGATACTTGGAAGTGATATTGTACACATTTCACCGGCTACCGAGTACCAGGTTTCGGGTTGTGGTACTTGGCCCGACCATCGAGTCCCAAATATCAAGACCCGAAACCCAAAGCCTGACCATCGAGTCCCAAATATCGAGACCTGAAGCCCGAAGCACAACATTTCACTGACTACCAAGTACCGGGTTTTGGGTTGCGGTACTCAGCACTCAGTACTTGGTGATTCAAGAAGACAACTCCCAAAATTGTATTTCATTAAATGTGTATTTTCTTGACTTGAAAATCGAAACTCGAAACTCGTTAAAATGCATGAGTTTCATTGTTTTGAATTTGGAGTATTGAGTTGTTTCGAGTCTCGAATGTCGTGCTTCGGGTTTCAGGTCTCGATGTTTGGGTTTTGATATTCGTGACTCGATGGTCGGGACTTGATAGTCAGGCTTCGGGTTTTGGGACTTGATATTCAGGACTTGATATTCGGGACTCAATTGTCGGGACTCGGTATTCGGGCCTCAATATTCAATTGTCGGGACTCGATAGTCGGGTGTCGGGTTTCGGGACTCAGTAGTTGGCACTCGATACTCGATAGTGGGGACTCAAAACTCGAAACTCGTAAAAATGTTTGCATCAAGTTTTGAGCATTGAGTATTGAGATTTGTGTCGAGTCTTGAGTCTTGAGTCTCGAGTCTCGAATCTTGGCCTTCGGGCTTTGGGTCTCGATATTCCGGTCTTGATATTCGGGACTCGATGTTCGGGACTCAATTGTTGGGACTCGATATTCAGGACTCGATATTCAATGGTCGGGACTCCATACATGGGTGTCGGGTTTCAGGACTCAATAGTCAGGTGTCGGGTTTCAGGACTCGATGTTTGGGTTTTGATATTCGGGACTCGAGAGTCGGGCTTCGGGTGTCGGGACTCCATTGTTGGGACTTAATGTTCGGCACTCGATACTCAATGGTCAGGACTCCATACACGGGCGTCGGGTTTCGGGCTTCGGGACTCGATAGTCGGGACTCGGGTTTCAAGATCCGGTAGTCAGCACTCAATACTCGATAGTGGGGACTTGAAACTCGAAACTTGTAAAAATGATTGCGTCACGTTTTGAGCATTGAGTATTGAGATTTGTGTTGAGTCTCGAGTCTTGAATCTTGGCCTTCAGGCTTCAGGTCTTGATATTCTGGTCTTGATATTTGGGACTCGATGTTCAGGACTTGACATTCGGGACTCAAGATATCTGGCTCTCGATACTCAACATTGGGTATGCGGGACTTGGCATATAGCAATAGGTCATATATTTGGAAGTCAGTGTTTAATTTTCAGTACTTATTACATCATGTACAGAATTTAGACTTCAACATTCTGAACTGAAGGACTAGAACTACTCCGGTCCCCTTGGCTTCAATTTGGTTAGGACGGCTGTGTACATCTGAATCTCGGCCATCTTTTCATGGATGCCATCTTGTTGATCCTCAATAACTGTCAGGAGGTGTTCTCTCATCCACCTCAGTGCCTTCAGTGATGCAACCGAGCTTTCAGCCACCTGCTCGGGAACAACAAGATGTTCGTCCTCAACGCCAGACTAGAAAGGATTAGTAACCATTCAAGGAAATTCGCTAAAAGTCTTACTAGCCAATGCTGGTAGTGACAGACACAATTAGCGAATACCTGATCCCATGGCCATAATTCCTTCGGGATTGCAGTTGGTCCGGTCCACCATTGAGTTCCATAGGTTGATACAATCCGGGAGGGATCCCCCAGATCTGCAACATCATGGAACTTACACAGGTGGGATGAAAAGACGTCATCCGGAACCATGTCCCAGGTGAGCTCGGGAATCAACCAAAGAATATGAGTGACCGGGCTCGGAACAACCAAAATGATGTTCCTTGCAGCTGAGTACTGCAGGAGGGGAGTCACAAAAGTCTGTTGGAAATGTCAGCATTGACCACCACAGTCATCAGTCTCTTACAGCTATCTCCCATTGCAGCCCAGCTTTAAAGTGCATGATCCAAGCAGCAGAAGGCTCCTCAGTGTGGGTAGCCTCCATCTGATATTGAGAGATGGATGCTCGGATGCGAGATGCAGCCATTGACATTGTAGCTGCAAGATCTGCCGGAGTGAGTGTGAGGGGTCGGAACCCATCACTGGAATTCTGAGAATCAGAAGGGGATGTAGGAGGAGTATGCAATACAGACATGGTTAATGCAGTATTATGAACCTGGAAATGACAATCACAATGGCAGTTGGTTCGGAGGTGAAGATATGAGCCACAGGTTGATGGATAATTTTTTTCAAACTCCGACATTTGTTGATCTGGGCAAACTCCGTCATAGGTCGACCCAGCCAATTTCCGGGACTACAATGTTTGGGTCGATGTAACTGTTTCATATCTTCGGCAAAAAAAATTTATTCATCTTGAGCCTCTATAAACCCGCTCTTCTGGTCTTGAAATGCTGCCTGGGCATCCTGTGCCAGCAATGAATACATTTGGGATTGCCTTCCTGAGTAACATGCATGACCCGGAAGGTTTTTCACCAATGATTTGCACATCCTGTCACCCCATTGGGTTGCTTTCCACAAGAAAAAGTTACATGTCCAATCCATCTCCAATTGGACCAACATCATTTCTTCCTTCCATCGATCCCGTAGGGCCTTTGCCCGAAGCCAATGCACTTGGTAAACTTTGGATGGGTCCGTCAGCTGAGCACAGGATATGTCAAGCATGCCTGAACTCACATTCCTCATTCCACGAGTGATCAGGACCCCCCAGGTCGACTTTGACTGACCAGAACCAAGTGAGGGACTTGTTTCGCTGACCTTGGGCATTTGGATCGCTGATGGCAGCGCTGATTTTGAGCTGCTCCCAAAGCAGGGGTTTGTATTTCTGAAGCTGGTCTTCCCCCGGCTCAAGTTGCATCATTTGCTTCCTCATCTTCATATATATACTGGCATGGAGGGACACTGCCTGCTGCACGGAGGTCACCTGGGACCAAGCTCGAGTTTTCAGGGCCTGGGATTTGGCTTGCCTAACTGTTGTTCGGAACAGAATCGCCTTGTTGCACAAGTGAATTCGGAGGTTGTGAAGGGAGTCATTGGCCTGCCCTTCACGAAGAGACATCTCCAGTGTAATGAGATCCTCTGCCATGCAGTGTCTGCATTGATCTACTCCGAGGTTTGATGGCAATGGGATGACAGTGAGCTCGGGGGAGTTCGCCCATGTGTCAGATGTCTCGGTGAAGTCTGCCAAGTCATCATCGAGATCATCGAGAATGTCTACGTTCAAGTCATCAGGATCATCATCTGCATCAAATCCCTCTCCGAGATGAGTAATAGCAGACCGAGTGAATCCATCTATCTGGCCTTGGAGACGATCACGTTGCCAGGCTATGTCTAATCTCTGTGTCTCGGTAGTTCTTCTACCAATTCTTCGGACCTCGATGAGCAATGCGATTTGAGCCTCTTCAATCGCCAACCCAATTGATGAATGATGCATGGTTAACTCGTGAATGTTGAATGGCAGGGTGGGCTTGCCTTTCGCCTTTCTGAAAATCTACCATCGAGTGAGGAACGGTGACTCTCATGAGCTCTCGGTATCGGTCCTTGCCACATGCTTTGTCAATATAATGTCCTTTAGATGAGAAATATAGCATTACTGGTACAAGGTGTGGAAACATGTTGGAGGTCATTCGCCGGAGCTTGCTGTAATAGTTCATCGCCGATGTCCCACATTCAAGGTTGTCCAATAGAAAATCATCGAGCACCCTGATCATGCAGGCACGATGATAACAAGGCATTAGGAGATGGGGACAGTTTCATGAAGACGAAGGAGTGGGAGGACATCGAGCCAGTTTGGCAGGAGTACGCACAGGAACAATTCGGTGAGTGTTTGAACTCTGGCTACTGGAATGAATTGGTTGATCTTCTTCATGATAGGTGCCGGGGCACGGGATGGAGGGCGACAGGTGATGCGAGGTCAAAAGAGAATCAGGAAGCCTGCTTTCGAACTCGAGACCGACGGGGATGGGATGCCGGTGCTTCCAGACATCACCGAAACGAAACTCGAGGAGAAGAAAGCCATAGTCAGAGCATTTCTTACATCACACTATCGTGAGTCCACCATTGCAACACCCGAACATTTGTTGAATGCATGTATACAGGTATCTGTTCCAGGATTGACAAGGCAGTTGTGCCATGGAGCGCCATCGTACAAAGTCAGGATGACTTTGTGGCAAGAAAGTATGTTCTGGCAGATGTAGACTTGAAGGAGCCATCGAAGTTGCAACATTGGGACACAACTGCCTTACTGAATTTCTGGTATGCTCGGCAGGAGAAAGGCAAAAGTCCAACATTCCTGTTCAAAGCATGGAAGAACAGAGATGGAGACATGGTAGCCTCGGTTGTATCCGGGAATTCACTGTCTCATCAGACTCATAAAGTCAGAAGAGATATGATCCGAAGGCCTCGGAATTTGGAGACCGAAACTGACAGTGATCCCGAGACCGATCACGAGGGTGATCCCGAGAGTAAGCCCAAGGGTGACACTCATGATATGGAGGATGATGCTGGTGATGACGCAGCGGAAGGTAGATCCCCGCAAAAGAGACCCAGAACAGAGCCTGGTCCTTCAACAGCACATGAAGGGACTGCTGTCCCATGTGCAATTCCAAAGCCTCGCCCGGTCAATGCAGGGAAAACTGGTGCACTGCTGACATCACGAATGGGCGACCTCCTGGCTGGACTGACTGAGAGAGTCACCAGCAATGTTCAGGAGGATGGTGCAACCGAAGGAGTCAATAGGTCACCGGCACTGAAAAACATGTGGGGAAAGAAAGCAGTGATTGAGCCATCAGCGAGGACAACCTGGAGTAAGTCAACACAAAAGCCATTGGACACTAGCCCTCGAGTGACCAGAGCGAGGGGAAAGAAGTAATGGACTTATACTACACTGCCTGCCTTTACCTGCTATTATGTACATGTCAATGTGATTCAATCATATTGAATAGAGTCCCGAGTATGAGTATCAAGTCCCGACCATCAAATCCCGAACATCGAACATCGAGTCCCGAGTATCGAGTCCCAAAACCCAAAGCCCGAGATTCGAGGAATGAATCCTGACTACTGAGTCCCGAACATCGAGTCCTGAACATTGAATCCCGACTATCGAACACCAAGTCCTGACTATCGAGTATCGAGTATAGAGTCCCGAGTATCGAACATCAAGTCCCAAACATCTAAATCCCAAACATCGAACATCAAGTCCCAAAACCTGAAGCCCGAGATTCGAGGAATGAATCCCAACTACTGAGTCCCAACTACCGAGTCCCGAACATCGAGTCCCGAATATCGAATCCCGACTATCTAGTATTGAACATCAAATCCCTACCATCAAACACCAAGTCCCGAACATTGACCATCAAATCCCGACTATTGAACACTGAGTCCTGACTAATGAGTATCGAGTATAGAGTCCCGAGTATCAAACATTGAGTCCTGAACATCTAACATCGAGTCCCGAACATCGAACATTGAGTCCCGACTATCAAACACCAAGTCCTGTACGACGCCCGGTGACATGCATGAAAGATCCAGTAGTGTACATGATGTGGGGATATCAATGAAAATTCAGAGGTTGTAATAAGGTAATTTACATAGTCATTTGTTCTTCAAAGTGTTGAATCATGGAATCTACTACCTTGAGCATTTCAATGCTCATCTGTTCAACTCTTTGCAACCTCTGCAGGTCTGCATCAGCTTTTTCAGATTGTCAGAAGTTTCCGCCCAAGCAGTTCAGAATGGTCGCTCAGCCTCCATTAGTTGTTGGATGGAAGGTTCAGGAAGACCTCCAGTACAGCGTTTGTAATCACCGAGTCGATCTCAGACAGATTGGTCTTCCAGAAAGATTAGCAAAAAGATAAATGCTTTCCTTTCAGATACTCACATTCTGGGTGTTTGTATTTTCCGAAAGGATGCAGCTCCCGGACCATCAAACATACATCTTCGACATCGAGCTCCAGCTCATCTGCACGAAGTTTGGTAGATGATTTGGCGGCTTGGGAGATACGATAAGTATCAATAATCGTCTGGAATGAATAGACCCACATGAAATAGACACCTCTGATGTAGCCAGTGCAAAAGTGGGAGGATCAGCAGAATCCGGCAACTCATCAACATCAATGACATCATCCTCAGGCCCGAGGTACAAGTCTGGATCAATGAGACAGCCGGCATCATCAGCCTCACCTGGATGTGATTGATCTTCAAGGGTGAAGTTAACATGGATGGTGAATGCTGATCATAAGGAATGTATAAACATACCGGGCATTGCAGCCAACGCATCCGGTGGTCCGGATGACATAGAATCATATTCTATGTCATCATCCGGCCCAAGGTATAAGTCATCTAAGTCATCTGAGGGACACCCGGTAAATTGATAAGGAATGATAAGAATACAACATACCTAGTGATACCCGGCCCATAGATGAGTCATCCACATCCATAGAATTATAGTCGGTCACCGGGGGGTCATTAAATCTAACGGCTGGATGGGAACTCATGTGGTGTGGAGAATTGGTGGACTGGTTGACTGATGATTGAAAAAACTTCGAAGTTCAACACACAACTGGCGATTGCCGAAAGTTGAACAACGACCAAACAAACACAAACAATCAACGATTTTATTGATCATCCACCAAATGTCTTGTTTGATTTGAAACTTCATCTTTCTGATAACTGATCTCAATCTGATTTCAAGATCTTTAAATCTCTCAACTCACTCATCATGTCCACTCCAGTTGCCGACTCTTTGACTGATCTCAAGAATTCCACTGCCCAGATCATGGCCATCATCAGCGCCGCCCGGCAGATTCCCCCGGGTCCCAGCCACTCAGCTCTGGGAAAACAGGTTGGTACACTTGTGGTATGTATTTTTTTGTTCGTGTTTTTTTTTTGTCTCTAACATCCAGGTAGTCTAATGTAGCAGAGGAGTATGGGTCCGGGGATGGTCCTATTCCTGGACTCATCATTTCGTGCCTCAAAGAGCTACACCGCATCTGGAGCATGGTTCCCAAGGTCTGGCCCGACTGGCACACCATCGGGTATGATGATCCCCACGTTTTGAGGCACCCCTGGTACCCCAAGGTCCTCGCCTGGGAGGCCTTAGGTGACCGGACCTTTGATCTCCCAACTGCTGCCCCCCCATCCACAGGTCCGATTCCAGTCAACCTTCCCTCCCCAGCCATTCCTACTGGCAATGTCGCTGGCCCTTCCACCAACCCCACCACTGAGTTCCGGGACAAGGGGAAAGGTAAGGCCGTCTTCGCTGACCCGGAGCCTGAGGCAGAAGGCAGTAATAAGAGGAAGTCCCCCTCGATTTCGGGACCACCCTCCCAACCCCCAAAATCCACGATGAAGAGTCACAAGCATCAGAGGTCGGCTCACATGGTGAAGTCCAAGCCCATGGTGGAGTCAGAAGATGAGGAAGACACGATTGTCAAGGTATGTCGTCTCGTTCTTCTTTTACTTGTCTCACATTTTCTTGTAGCCATTTTTGGGTGGAGTGCCGGAGGTCGTCCTTCCCCTGCTCTCCACAGTTATTGCAAGGATGCCCAATTCGCCTCGATCACCCAGGGTTCTGACGAAAAAACCCTTTGGCCCTGCCACGGTAAGTCACACTTACGCGTCTGGGACTTGGGTGTATGCTTACCGTTTACTAGGTGATTGCCGGCAGTCGCCCAGCAGTCGTTGAGCCCTCCCGGCCAACTCCTGAACCCCCGGTGCAGGCACCCCTGGTCATCCCTGCAGTTGACATTCTCATTCCCGGACTGGTGAGTACTTTTATATATCTCAAGTGTATCCATACACTAATACAACTCACAGAAAAACCCATGCTACGCTTGCAACAAGCTACAATGGCCTTGTGCAACTCGGATGGACAAGAGGACCAGGGCTCCGTATATGTTGTGCATCTACTGCACGACAAAGAAGATCAAGTGCACCCCCACATCTATGGCGGGTGACGAGAACTGGTACTGGTATTGTCTTCTGATGGTCCATTGCCCTTGACAATGAGTTTGGATTTCTTTACCGGTGGGTGAGAATCCTACTGCTCTGATTCAGATTGCACCAGATGAACCAGTGCTGATGAGACTTCATTGCGCCTGACAGTCACCTTGGATTTCTTGACTGGCGGGGGAGAATCTTCTGGCTCTGAATCAGATTGAACTGGAGGAACCCTGCTCCGCTTGTTGGTTGGGTGAGACTTTGAAGGTAGCAATGGGACTTCATTGCGCCTGACAATCATCTTGGATTTCTTGACCGGCGGGCGAGAGTCTTCTTCCTCTGAATCAGATTGAACTGGAGGAACCCTGCCCTGCTTGTTGGTATGTTTGGATTTTGAAGGTGGACATGGGAGAACTTCTTCCTCATCATCTTCATCATCTTCATTGTCTCCTTCCTCCTGCTCATCTTCTTCTTCCTTGTCTCCTTCCTCCTCCTCTTCATCTTCTTCATCTTCTTCTTCATCACGCTCATCCTCACTACTTGACTTCTGTTCCTCCCTCTTGCTTGGCTTTCCGGTTGATTTTTTGACCGGAACCCTGGTCTCTGCTGCTGATTGTCTGAGTCTGGTGTCAGAATCCTCGCCTGAGATTGTTTCTACCAGTTCTCTCATCTTCTTATCATGGCCTTCCCAGGCTTTGAATTCAAAGGTTGGGCGAACCTTATCCTTCTGTCTCTGACACCAGAACTCTAAGAGCCGGTCGACTTCAATTAACTGAAGCTTTGAAGGTTCCTTGATCTTGCCACTGGTAGGTAAAAACTTGGCCTCAACAAAGTTACCCTGCCCTCACACCATGCATCTACAAGTCGCTCATTTGGTCCTGCATCAGGTGTCCAGACCATGAAAATTCAAAAGCAACCGGTGCCCGAACCAACGCCTCCTTCCCCTCCAAAGGCCACCGGCAAGAAAACCGCAGGACAGGAAGCCCGCATTACCAATCTGGAGCCAAAATGCTCCAGTAGAAATGCAAAGGCGTCTTATAAAGCTCACTATATGCAAAGGTAATAATTTGGATAGATGGACATTTTATATTACAAGTATTGTAGACCAGTGTAGATAGTGCTTGACCAGATAGATACATCATGTTGACAGTTGAGGTATCGATATCAGTTGACATGCCAGCAATAAGTCTCGAGTGAACCCAAGGACTTGCTCCCTTGCAAAGGCCTCTTCCGGCGAAATTGCACCACCATCCCTGTCCATCTCCAACCGGTGCACTGCAACCTGCAAATCACCTACTGCCTGCTGAATAACAAACCCAATGGGATCCGGTTGACTGACGGCTACTGAATGCAGGTGATTAATCATTTAATATCTAACAAAATGAAGACTTACATGACTGATCTGGAAACTCATTGACCGGATCCGCTTGAAAACCCATCTCCAAGGGGCTCTCTACCGGTTGAATACTGTTCCTTATGTCCAGAACATGATCTACCGGATCTGTGTCAAAACCCATCTCCAGAGGGCTGCCTTCTGATTGAGTATCATGGATTGAATTGAAAAATGAGCAAATTGATGTATTAGATATAGTCTAGCACTGTACCTGTGTTACCGGCCGGATGACTGACTTGCAGAGAGTTTGCTGGGTGAAGGGAGAGTCCATCATCTCCGGATTCAGGTAGAAACCCCATGTCAAATACATCATGGTCAGACTCCAGAGGAAATTCCATGTCCAGTGCATCATCTGATTCTGGTGGGAATTCCATGTCTAATGCTTCTGACTCCGGAGGAAATCCCAGGTCCAACATCTGATATTCCTGTAACTCCGGTGTGGGTGCGATGTTGGATGACCGGTCGTTGTCAGACAGGGTGGGGAATTGCATATCCAAAGTGTCAGACATCCGGTCATCATCAGATGATGGAAATCCCATGTCTAATGATCGGTGCTCCTCGGCGGTCATCTCCAACATCTTCAATGTTTTACCATCCTTCCACCAGTCATGAGCTGACAGGATATCTAAATCTCCAAGACAAATATCAATTGTCAGTGTGACAGGCTGGAATGAGATAAAACTCACATTCACCCATGCTTGAACAATCCATCAAAGGGTCATTGTAAGTGTGCTCCTCGTGTTCCGGCTCTAATAAGACAAATACTAGTATGCCGGATAATGTCAACAGGTACATTCCCAAAGGCAATGATTTCTCACCTTCATCCTCACTAGATAGTTGTAAATATTCTTGCGCAATCGCCAAGGATGACATGGTTTTCTTCCTTGTGTTGGGTGCCTTCTTTAAATTGATGTTCTTCATGTGATCACCGGAACAATGAATGTGTTCTACTGTAGCCAGATGCTCTGCTGGCGATAATTTGATAAAGATGACGTGTCAACAATAGCATCCACACAATGAGAAATAAGTAGCTAAAAATAGATAATGATGACGTGGCAATGATGGCCCGGGCATCCGGTGATGAAAAATTTTCACAAGTGTTTGTATTGGTCGCTTCCAGGTGTCTTTTTCACTTGCTCTCACTCGATACTCAGCTCATCTGCCAGTGCAATTTTCTAACTACCAAGATGTCATCCAACTCCACTTCTGCTTCTGCCGCTGCCGCTGCCAACCAGACGCTCATCGCTCTGATCGCCAGACTCAATGGGTGACTTCCCATAAGGTTTTACAGACAAATTTCTGTTAATCCTCATGCCTTAGCCGAATAGCCGCGCTGGATTTAGAAGGTAGCTGTCAACACCTGTCAAATGGTTGCTCTCGCACTCGTCTGCAAATCTGCCAATCTACAGAGGGGTAGCTACCCCTCTGTAGATTTCTGTAAATTGTCGGAGCACACTAAATGTCTGATTTGGGCAATTTTCTTACTCTGTTTAGATGGCTCGCTCAGAGTCGCTCCTGGAAATATCATCCGGATCAACTCTTGTTTTTCTGCTATTGTGGACTCCGCTCCTCACGTTCGACCTTATTTATCATCTTCCATCTGCTCAAAATGAACCCTTCCGACACTCTCGGGACTGATTCTAACATTTCTCACACAAATACTCCTGCAAAATTTGCCCCTGCAGCTAGTGATCGCCCTGTAGTGCCTACCCAGGTGGAATATGTGAGTACCATAATATTTAAATTGGTGTCTTGTGCTAACTATCTATAGTTTGATCCTTTCTGCCCAGTGCAAGCTTACAGTGTGCGTGAAAATTCCCGCTTCCTCGAGGGTCTGGGCCATCCACGGATGCATCCTCCCCATGCCATGTATCGTGATTCGGAGTATCCATCTCCCCGCATGTACAGCCTGGCCCTTTATCCTGCTGGACCATTACCTCCTAGTCCTGATACCTCTGGACTGGTGCCTCCCACTGTCACAAACATCCGACCTCCCTCTATCCCTCCAATCGCTTTTGCAGAGGCTGTGTCTGACAAAGAGCTTGAACAACCGTTACTTGCACCTGCTAAGGGTCAGAAGCGCTCGTCAGCACTAACTGTGCAGCCTTTGAGAGCCCCTCTGAAGAAATGAACAAAAGTGGGTGGTAAGGGAAAAGGCCCCACAAAGCCACAGGCTGACCCTGACAGCAAGCCAGTAGTTGGCGAGGCCCCCAAAAAAGGTCGGAAAGCTGGGGTGACTGGCTACTCTGCTGACGAAGTCAACCGTATACTTAAGGAGATTGGTCGATGTCTCCCTCTTGGCGGAAAAGCTTGGGATGCTGTTACAGTCACTTATAATCAGTGGGCTCGGCAGAATCATATGATGGAGCGCTCATCCAAGGCCATTCAAGCGAAGTATGATATGGTTCATTCTTTATTGTAATATATCTACTAGCTGTTGATGTTCGCTTAACAGATTTGTTGTATGGAAAAACCCACAGGAGATGGCAAGCTGCCTGAATATGTGGAACTTGCTTGTCAGATTGAGGATTCCATTACGAGGAAGTCAGGGATGATTGCACTTGGTGACTCTGAGTGGGATGAAGGTGATATTGGGAGTGAGATTGAAGGGAAAGATGTTCTAGAAGTGTCAAGTGAGTCTGACGAGGGAGTGAGAGGTGCGAAGGTAAAGCACACAGGCCCAAAGAAGACAGTTGTCAAGGCATTTCGTGCAAATCCTCTCCTTGAACCCAGTGCTCGCCGACCTCATACTACTGCTGCTTCTGATGCATTGTTGTCACTGACATCTGTCTTTAATCCTGCTGCTATCAAGGATCGTGACGAGACTCGGCTCTCATCACTTGTCCAATTCAATCAGATCAACACTCTGAAAGCTGAACTTCGCGAAGTGAGGCAATGCATTGAATCGCTCAATGACCACCTCATGCAAGAGTGTCATCGCGCAGATCGTGCAGAGAGCCAAGTCGAAATGCTCAAGTACATGTTATCATCTCAGAATGAGGCTCATACCCCTGCTTGTCCTCCTGCTTATCCCCGTCAAGCTTCGCCATACTATTTCACCTCTCCCTCACAAAGCCGTCGACGCCCTCGCTACTCTCCATCACACTACTCTCCATCACACTACTCACCTCGTTGATAACCATCACTCGAGTACTCCTCTATGCCTGGGCCCTCACGTGTTAATGACAACACTGTTTTTGACACTCCCCATCGCAGCAATGGACTCAAATCACTTGCACTAGCAGTTGACATTGCTGCTGAGGATAAGGATCGCTGTGATCATGGTCCTGTAGAGCAGTTTTAAAATGTTGTTTGTACTATGTGAATAGTAGCAAAATAAAAAGACCTATGGAGTCTGCACTACAAGATGATAACGAGCAACATGATCGCGATGACAGATGTCACCAAATAGAACATTACCTAGATCAATCCACAGCTGCTCATCCTCCGATGCCTTCCAAATTGGCATGTACACAGCACGAATCTGATTAATACCCACACAAATTGCTCTGACATTACTCAATCTCACGCACACCTCCAGAAGCCTCTGATGTCGTGCCCAATCATTGACGTCCAGTGGGACACGAAGTCAGCCGAACGAGCCCTGCATCATTTGCATACCCCATTCTGCTGTTTGGCGGTAGGATAGTAGCTGCTGGTTGAATGTTAGGAGCTCTGCCTGCTCATGCACATCGCCTGGAAGTACAGCACCACTTTTTAATGGTGCTTGTATCTTGCCTGAGATGGCTGCCATCCCACGTGGAAATGCAGAATCAGCAATGAGATAATAGCCATCAGGAGTCTTCCGTTGAAGTTTTTTGTAGATGGGGTGAGATGTGTGCGAGTCATGCCAACTTCCAGGAGCATTAAGTACTGCGGATATGATGACGCCTAAAAATGTGGTAGTACAAGGAAACAACACGAAGATCATATTTGAATTCACCTCGTGGAGAAAAGACCAGTACATAAGAGATAAAATGCGAACTCTTCCAACCATTATATGTAGCATTCTCGACTTCAGGATCATCAGCTTCTTGGCATGGCAGACTAAGTCCATCAATGCTGCCAAAGCTTCCTGTGAGTTTGGAATGACGAGTGCGAATCAACAAATTGTCCTCGATGATTTCATTACGGTCAGGTAAGTGAATTTCACCTTTGGGTATGTCACGAAGAGTTTGAAGGAGGATATCAAGTGTGAAATCGAGGTAGCAGTTGACAGTGGTGGGTATAAGTGCGAAAACCTGTTGCAGTGATATTTCCTGCATAGCTGAGTTGAGGAAGTGCAGTGTAAGCCCCAGTGCACCTGCAGCATCAAGGGAATGAGCTCCAATACGAGGCTCACCCCGGCTGGACACATCAGCACGAGGGATTGGGGTGGAGTTCCACTTGTCTGCAAATCCACTGTTGAGGAGTTGATGGAATGTGGTGACATTGAATCCCATCGTAGTGATGTAAGCACAATCATTGTAGCTTTCATAAAGATGTGTCCATGGTGTCATGAAGCAAGGGCTTGGGAGGAGCTGAGGACGGCACAAATACAAGCGTGATGGATTGCGAACACGTATTTTCATCAGACGTGCCTCTTCCACACCAAGAATGAGAACACCAACAAGTGCAGCTTGCAGTTGCAGCATCTCGTCGTCATCGGCAAATGCATACTGCATTAAAGTTTCAATGTCCATGGCAGGGCTCAAATTATAGGGAAAATAGCTGTATCTATGTCTTATGGTTTACGGATTTTGTCTGTAAATTAGCCGATGTCAACTTGTCAAAAATTTACAGACAAGCTTGTTTCTGTAAATTCTTACAGGAAGTCACCTAATGAGATGGCTGAACAGGTGCTCCGGTCCCAGTCAGAGGAAGAGAAAATGGGATTGAGCCGGAAGATTGCTCATGAAGTGGTATGTTTGACGTCCTTCTGTGTATTGCCTGTATTGATACCAGGGTCTCAGAATGACACGATTCATTAGCATGGGAGGGTCGCTACCTACATCCCCCCTCACCTGCTGTCCATGGCAGCTGAGATCTTTCATGCTCAGAGGCGCACCACTCAACTGGTGGAAGTCCCGGACTGGAACTGCATTGGGCACAACCAGGAGATGTGCATGAAGCATCTATTGTATGGTAAGACATTGGGTGCTGCACCGGTGGTCATCACACCTGCACCTGCACCTGCACCAGCCCCAGCCCCAACCCCAGCCTCTGCACCGGCGGTCACCACACCTGCACCGGCACCAATGCCCTCAAAGACACCAGCACCAGCACCAGTCCCACCCCCAGTCCCAGGCCTATCACCGGCGCCTGCACCTCAGCCTGTTCCATCCTCCGGTCAGTCATTACCGGCACACCGTTTCAGCATTCACATCCCCAGAAATACAGCATCCAGTGTGACTGCACCGGCCGGACCCTCCAAATTGCGCAAGCGAGAACTCAGTACTAGTCCCCCTGTGCGTCAGTTCAAGAGGGCCTGGAAGCGTCTCCTCAAGTCAAGGGAAGTCTTGTCCGACACCGACTCTGACAAGGTGAAGCTGAAGGTGAAGAGCAAAGGGAAAAGCAAAGGGGAAGGGGAAAGGGAAAGAGAAGGCAAAGGCAAAGGTACCGGAAGATGATGAGGATGAGGATGAGGATGAGGATGAGGAGATGGCAACTGATGTTGATGATATTCCGGTCGTCCAGGCAAGTTTCTTTCCTTCTCTTTCACTTAACATTACTGACATAGCAAACAGCGCCAGAAGTCAACGTGAAACCCCTCCAAACACAAGGTAAGTCTTCATTGCCTTCAAAAACAGTCGCTATCAACTGACACAATTTACCGGACATTCTTGTCCTTCCACAGAACAAGGGCGCTGCACCAGAGGGAAGTGAGACGGATGAGATTCCGGAAGATGAAGACAATGATTTGGAGGGTGATGATACCCAAGGCAAGTGAAAGGTATGTTCATCATTTTCATTCTTACCGGTGCCTCACTCATCCTGATGCAGGCCACCATGAAGCCGGGGAAACAACACAAACCTGTAGGTCTTATTTCTCATCGCACCTGTGATTCATATGGCTAACATATTTCATTAGTCTACGCATCCCGTGGGCAAGGACCACAGCAAGAAGGGCAAGGGCCAACAGCCAGTGAGACGTCCGGTCAATATCATTTTTACTATACTAATTTGTTATAGCCGGACGTCAATGGACCTTTACCTCGTTGCGAGAGATGCTGGTCGAAGCATGTGCAGTGCATCCCGTGGTTGACGAAGAAAGGCGAGGTTGGCCTAAGTTGCACCTTGTGCCATCTGTGGAAGATGGCATGCATCAGGCCTGACCCAGTGTCCGCGGACAGCACCACTGTCACCACCATCACCCCCAGCATCGCTGCTACACCACCTGCAAGAGCTATCACCACTCGCTCCAAGACAAGCTGGTCAAAGACCACCGGACAGAGCAAGACCGGTGGGCAGTCGTCCAAAGGCAAAGGTAAGTCTCTTGTTTCCGGTCGTAGGGTTCTGGCGCTCATTCACCCTTGTAGACAGGGATATTCGACATCCCAGTCCCATCCAAGAGGAAGACGATGATGATGTCCGGATGATCGATGACACTCCGGAAGTGACTGGTACCGGCAGTACCACACCACAACCGGCGCCTCTCGCATTGGTAGACGATTTCCCCGCAGACCACTGGATTGAACTGGGCACTGACGACATGCCACCTCCACCACCGGTTATGGCCCCAGAGGACAACATCCGGGACTCACCCATCCCTCCGGTCTATCATCCACTCTCCTCCATCGCACCTTCCGGACCCCTTCCATCCATCCAGCACCCTCTCGCTAATGAGGAGATGGAGGCCATGTTGGCCCATATTCGCATCAATATGGAGGCACTCCAGACACGCGATAGGATGGAAGTTGACGTCCGGCAAGATCACCTGGAGCATCGCATCGAAGTCGCCGAAGGATCGGATGCTGCCATGACTGTGCAGATCAACCAGATACAGGGGGATGTGGATGCACACCAGAGACTCATAACTGGGTTGTCCATCCAACTTCAAGCAGTTGTGAGGTATATGAGGGGGGATAGGTCTGACAAATGGATGGCAACAACCCCACCGGCATTCAATCCACCCCCCATTGTCGCCGGCCCATCCATCAGTGCATTCGGTTGCACGTTGACCAACGACGTCTTCACTCCGGATGCATCTTGGATGAGCGCCCAGACCGGTGGTGATCTCATTGGCATTGAAGACAGCTCACCGGTCGCAAGGCAAGCACGGGCGCCATCCACTTCCACCATCAACCCAGCACTCACCACGACAGTATCCGGCCCATCTGTTCCTCCGGGTGATGCACCACCGGTACCACCTCTCATTCTCCCGGTGGGGTCCATGCCTTCACCTGGCACCCTTCACACATTGATCACCGGAGGGCCATCAAATGTGCTGGACAATGGTCAGTCCACCTCGGCTCCTTTTCCACGCCAATGATATGGACCTCTATCCCTCCAACATGGTCAGTCGGCAAGTGCTAGGCATGCTAAGAAGCCTTCCGGTGACACAGAGAAGTAATACTACTACATATTTTTCATGTTTTCATCTGTATTAGTAGTCTATTATGCTCTCAACATTGTGGGCTTTCAATGAGCAAGATCACTTATGAGATAATCACACAGTTGACTTGCATAGCCTGCATTTCAGTCGGTAACGTCTGAGACGAGTATATGTTACTGTATTATGTGTACCTCTTCGATGATTTGTCTATTCCAAGTTCACGGTGCTCTCTCCAGACCTTCATATACGCCGCTTGATTTCTCCAGGCAGTGTGATGTCCATGACGAGTATTGATAGTGCTGTCAGACGTGTCCGTCGCTACACCGATCCGCTTTAGTGGCATTGAAGAATACTGAACCTACGCTAGGTCGCTCCTGAAAGTAAGAATGAACGATGATCACTTGACAAGCGCGAGTACATTGTACAACACAGAAAACGAGATCCGAAAGAAGGGTGTTGAAGCCCTAGGACAGTCGATGCTCAGCAGTTGAAGCTGGAGTGCTCGGTATAGTAGTATGTACTCCATTTCTCGTCAAGCTTCTAGTCTGAAAGCGAACCTCGAAGACTACGTCTATTTCTCGTGACGGTTAACCCTTGACAATGTTCAGACCACCTTTGAACTTGGCTTTAACCTGATCATTGACTCGCCTTCGAACTACGCAAAGACCGAGCTTGTAAACTGCTTGTAGCCATTACGCTGCCAGTGTGCCAGAGAATCCTGGCTGATGAATGGAGTCAGGGAATATAAATAAAGGCCTTGACTCGAGATACTACGCACGTGTATACATGTTGAAATTGCAGAGTATAACCGCAGGGTACGAAGCTAGAACAATCACTGAGGGCTACCATGAAGGCTCGGGCTGATTTACCACTCTTCGTCGAGTTGCAACCCCATCATCTGCTGCTGAATCTGCGTCCTCAGGTCCTCAACTTCATCAGCCTTGATGGAGTGATCCTCGATCAACCCAACAATCTTCTCAAGCGCATCATCTCTTCCACTAGGAATCAGAGGCATATGCCAGGATTTGATCTTCAAGTGGACACCGCTTTTGCCAGTCACCCCATAGGTTTTGATAGCAGCTTTGATGGCACGACGAGAGATGGGCCCTGTCGGCGCTAGCAGGAATAAGATCTGCATGATGCATGTTAAATCCACGATGTACGTCATAATCCGACGCAAGACAATGTCTCTAGATCAGTTGATAAGCTATTCTGGGCACCTTGCAGATAGCGAAAGCACGCATTCACTTACGTCCGTTGATAGGTATCATAAACCCACTTAACCACGACCACCCCTGCGGCAATCGACGCAACGATCGGTAGAATCGGGCCTGCCAGTGGCAGTTTCAAAATTTCCCCGACAACAGAGAGGCCAAATTGACTGCCAAGACCTCCATAAATTGAAAGTATCTCAGAGTACAACAACTCACACAGCTTGCGCTAGATTTGGAAGGTCGGTGTTGTCCAGATCATTTAGAATCTGCGCTCGGAACTTCTCATCGGCTAAGTGCTTTGCAGAAACATGTTAGCGGCCTGTGATATCAACCCATATAAGATAGACATCTTACACAGCAAGGGTCATTGAAGTTCCAAACGTCAATGACGTCCTTGTGAATCACGGACAAACAGTCCTGCATGGTGAAGCCTGCGAAGTCCATGCTCGAACCAAGACCTCTCCAATATCCTAAAATTTCAGAAGTCACAAAAAGGCGGCATAGGCTGTCACAGGACCAACTTTTCTTGCCGATGCTGTGGAGAGTAAAGTGTGAAATTAGGACTTAAGAAAGGGGCAGCGATCATGCATACGCAATTGATGCCTTAACTTTAAGACCAATATCGACCCGCTGGGCTATCATCATAGTTAATGACGCTTCAAATTTTTCGACGTTCGTGGTTGTGAGTTCGACCAGCTCTCTTATGGTGTTCTCGTACTCGTTTTTCGCTGTCAAGGTATGTTAGAATCGGAGACTAGAAAGATGTATGCTTCTTACTGGAAATTGTTGCGTGTAGGATGTCGCTTCCAACTTCACGCTCCAGTGGCTGGACGCACAGATTATTCAAAGAGTCTCTTTTAAGCTGATCGAGTGCAGCTGCATCCCATCCTCCCGATTTCATGGCGTTGAGCTTCAGTGTGTTGACAAGAAGATCCTGCTTGGTAAAGACAACAATGATCGGAACTACAGTTTGGAACATGAGTTACGAGAAGACGAAGTGTAAACGGTTCGCACTATCGCCCAATATTTCCTTTCTCGATGTTAGAAACTCCTCTACTGCACTCTCAACCAGCCGCCCATTGGCATGAGGTATCGAGAGGCAGAGCCTTCAAACAGTGTCAGCGTGGCAGGCGGCGGCGGTAGCTCGAACATCATACCAGACCGCATGTATCTTGTCCTTCAGTTCGGGCATTTTGCGTCGGCGGGCAATGAACTCTTTTGCATCCGAAAAACTGGCGCTGTCGCCACCTTCGAATCCCTCACTATCGTGCAGGACAAATCGCCCGTTTTCTGGTGCGATGAACTCCTTATCGATATCCGTTTTGCCCCGCGTGTGTTCAGAGACATGCTGTAAAGGGTGGGCGAGCGTCAGTATCTCTCGTCCGCCCCACTAATTCGTCAACTTAACCACTCCGTTTATCTTAAATGCTTGGTGGATCAGCGAAGACTTGCCGACTCCTGTCTAAAGAGCGGGTGGGTGAGTGATCTATGCTTGAAGACATTGAATAGACAGACCTTCCCTATTACCAGTAGTCGGAACCTTGGACAAATCTGTAGGATACTATTGCTAGTCGGCTGCAGCCGTCTGACATCGTGATGGCCGATATGGACGGGGATTATCAGTTTGTTGTCGAGACAAGGGAAGTATAAATACACTGACGATATTGTAATGATGATAGTGATCTTCCGCTGAGTCGTCCGATACTCTGTCACACCGGGCTATCAACTTAATGTGACACAGCTTGAGACGAGCGGGTTCACCTCGTTTACCATCTTGATCCACTGCGTCGGACAGGATATCTTTTCCGTCCAATGAAAACTCCACGATAGTCTTCCGCACAGCGTGATGCTGACAGTGCACAATCAAGGAAACCCGCTCAGTACTCACCGCGCTGTGGTAAAATGTTCTGACCGAGTTCCTGGAACTATATGCGGGACTCACATGGCAGGATCGAACTTTGCACTAAGGTCTTTGTCTTTTCCCGAGCCACGGCGGATTTCCCGTCGCCGTGAATCAAGCTCCAACTCGACAAATTCGACCTTCTTCTTTGAAGCATCGTCGGGGCGGATGATGATACCTAGGAAGATGTTTAAGGGTGAGATACTCTTTAAGTGGGAAATTCTCACTGGAAATGTGGAGAGGAGCAGAGGAGGCGGCTATCGCAGTGGTATTTTCAGACATTGTCTTCTGAGTCAATGGGAGGGAGGTTAAGGAGGGAATAGATGACAGCGGCAAATACAGTAATAGGCACTGGGATGCATCCTTCATATTAGCGCGTGTTTTGCACGTGCTGAATGCACCTCGAGGTAGCTTGCTGTGCAGGAACCTTGCACGAACTAGTAGGAGGGCTGGGAAGTTACTGTGGTATTACGTATACCCACAGTCCAGGGTTCACGGCGGTAAAGCGAGCAAGGACTACTATGGGCGTCTGGGTGACATGAGGTGTCTGTATGTAAAATCATGTAACTTTTAGTAGACGCAGTACTGAGAAAGAAACGACCCACCACGACTATTTAATACCTGCCCATTAATATGTTCGCGCTAGAATTTGCCCTGAGCACGCCTTCCTGTCACTCATACTGACACGCGCTAGAAAACTGTTGGGGTGAAGTAGAACTGTACAGAAATCTTTATATATGGCCATTGTTGAAGAGACAAAATGACAACGGACGCCGTCAAGACAAAAATACTTAATGTTCCAACTTCGAATGTTGCTGGGGAACGAAGAGATCGAATGCGAAGGCATCGTGAGGTTGGGCTGTGACCGAGCGGTCAGCTCGGGCTGGACGCTGAAGGATTGAGCCGCCGGGTGGGCGGGCAAACGAACGGCGATTTTGTGCGATGCCATGCAAAAACGATCAGGAATGTAATAGTTGACCAGGGATGCAAATTAATCCATTGGTTGATAAAATAGCGGTGGGTGGACGGGGAAAGAAGGAACGTATGTGACGAATTACTACGATAACGATGAGGATAAGTAAGTGAAGGTTAGGAATTCGCGTTGTGAGTCCGTTGTGTAAATAGTTCGATTTTGAATATGAAAGGTGAAGTCTAAGGCGTCTCGCTCAGTTGGACGCGTGGTGCTGATTCTCCGGCAGGCTCCGAACCGGCACCTTGCTCATAGTAAGCCAACTTAAGTCGCCAAAATATTCTTAGCTTGCCATAGAATACCAGCTCAAGACGAGAGTTTCTCTGACCCGACAAAATTAACGCCTGCTGAGTCCACTACTGAAGACGAGGGCTTGCACCAAGTTTCTGTATCGGGCGAGGACCAGTTCATCTGAAACTCAGGAGTTGGTGAGCGAAGAAGGATTGCGTATAGTTAATGCAAAGGGTCGCGATGCTGTTTAGCCATATGGGGGCGGAGGAGGCGGCTGCAGCACTGGAGCTTGATTGTCGAGCAAAGTTGAACCACCGGAGGACAGCTGTCATATACGATATCACTGGCACATACTGAGACGTCGGCCCTGTTCTTTTCGATTCGAGACTTCGACCGCAGCTAAACGCCTACGATAAAGTCGCTGCCATGCTGGTTTATGTCATCACATGGCGCCAAGATTTGCTAGAAAGTAAGTAAGGTGTGTGGTTAAACCACCTGTGCCATTGAACCGTCCTGATCGGCGTGATCTTTTTGGCTCATTGGCAAGTACTTACTGTATCTATCAGTTGATCTATTGATGCTGTGGCCGAAACCTATGCACGGGCGACGGAACTTTATGAACTTGTATCAGAAGTGAGTTGCCGGAAAGTATAGCATTCCATCTAACATCCGTAATTTGTGTCCTTTTGTGTCATACTCGGTGCTTATCAGCCATCTGTTATCTGGCATCTAGGGAGATCGGTCCTGTACTTATACCCCAGATTCATTGGCCATTCGACGTGTCACTTGGAATCATACTCTCTTCGAACGAACAATGATGCCATCACCTCACAACATTGAATTCAAAATTCCACTCAAGGAGATCCCAGAGGCGGAACTCAAGAGAACTCAGAATTCTCCCAATCACACTGGCGGTTTTGGTGACGTCTGGAAATGCAGCTGGTCCACTTCCTCCAGGAATCGTCCAGTCACAGTGAGCCTGACTCTAAACATGCGCACGTATAATGGTGTTTATTTCTAGGTTGCGATCAAGGTAGTGAGGGTCACTGACTCGAACCAAACGGTACTGTTAGACAAGACGGCCTGGGTAAGGTCTCACTGTACAGCATCTTATTGCTTACATATATTTTGGCTCGCAGGATATACGACGTGAGGCCTACGTCTGGGCCAACTTGAAAGACGACCATGTTATCTCGCTTCACGGAATCACAAGTGGTTTCGGAATTTTACCAGCTTTTGTTTCGTCGTGGATGACAAAAGGATCTCTTGAGGGCTACCTGAAACAGCACACCACTCTTGCAACGGTCCGGAAGCTGGACATGGTAAGCATGTGTGTTTAGAAGATTGGCTGAATCTCAACGAAACACATCAGTCTCGGCAGATAGCATCCGGCCTCAAGTATTGTGCGTGGTTTTTATTTTTGCATGCATGACTCAGATTGAAATGGGCCTTAAGTGCATGAGAGCGGCATTGTCCACGGCGACTTAACACCTGTATGTCTATTATTATCTTGTGGACCTATGGTTGAGAGATGAAACATCCTGGCTTCAGATGAATGTACTCATTAATGGCTATGATAAGCTATGCCTCGCAGACTTCGGTCTCTCGATGGTTCTTGCGGAATCAGGAAACCCCACATTCAACTCCTGCCACGGGGGCAATGTACGGTGGATGGCTCCGGAAATGTTTGCCGTACCTGAGGACGGGATGCCCACAAAACCGACAAAGCCCGCAGATGTATATTCGTGCGGCTGTATCATGCTCCAGGTATTTTATATCACTCGTTGAGATCGCTGTATGTCTGACACTCCGAAGCTATTTTCTGGGCAAAAACCTTACTTCCCGCTGAGGGATGCATATCACATTATCGCGGCGAGGATCGGAGGGATGGCGCCCTTCCGCCAGCTCACCGACATTGACGAAGGTCATACGCAGTATTTGCTAAGATGTCTGTCCGTTAATTTCAATGCTCGACCTAAAGCCCAGGAAATTGTGGCATTTATAAAGGCCGAGCTGCAGAAGCTTTGATGACGAGTTTAACCAAGGGTCCTTTTCATATAACGTCTAATGAATACTTTGTATGTATCAATTCACGACGTAACAAGCGCAGTGTCTAACAAACATACACTGCAGCGTCTAATACCGTTGGTACTGCACACACTTTTCAGGGACTGTACTTAGCACACTGCTTTCAAGTTTATTTTTGAAGTCTATCGGATCTTGTCTTTCCAAACACGCGCGCCCGCCGTCAAGTGTGACGCTCAGAATCATATAAGGTGCTGGGAAAGCTTTTCCCGTTCACACATTGACTCAAATCAAAGTTTGATGACAAACTGACTCGCATTCAAACCGACCCATATAGCTATCAACTGATGGTAAGTTACAATGAGCCAACTTCGATGGTTGAGTATAAGGCTAAGAGGCGGATGAACTCCATGGCCAGTCTCGAGATAACGCACCACGTCGTGCTTGCGTAACCGGTTTCATTTTCAACCCCTCCTGCAGCACTTTTTGCTCGTCTTCAGTTGATATTATCTCATGTGTCGGAGGTAGATATGAACTAGGCCAAGGACAATATCGTCGTTTGCAATCACAGAAGTGACGGCTTTTCCCGATATCGGAGATCAGAACACTTCGGCGTTAGTGTTCGGAAAGAGGTTTTAAGACCGAGGAAACGAGGAAACCCAATTTATGGTTTCTACTGAGATGTTCCATAGATCATGACGCTCGTCTTGTTCTGAAGGGGTTGCACCTGTGGTTGTGTAACGCCGGATCGTAGCTCTCTCACCTTCGTTGGTAGATATGATTGACTGCGTCTCCAGACTTTGTCAAAACTACTAGTGATAGCGCGATGAGTCATTCGAGTTCTGCACGGCTTGGAGACCTTTGAAGCAGAAAATCAGGGTGACTCCGAGTTAGGTAAGGTTGGACAGTGTCATTTCCTTGATGAGCGAGCGCGTCCCAGTGGCCGACTGTGGAACACACCTAGAGTATCAGAACTGGAATGTCAAACACCACATATGAGATCAAAAGCATTTGCCTTGCATGAGGTAAAAAATAACAGATCCAGAACTATGGGAGTGCGCGCTTAACTGAAAGTACAGATATCTGGTTCCGACATAGGAACCCCGGATGAAGTCGGACAAGTGAAATTCCTAGAACGAGCAGTCGCACCGGAATGCCCTCCACTTTCCAAAATGTCTCCTTCGCAACTAAGAAAATCCTCAGGTGCGATCAAGAGGTGCAGAGGATTAATGAACTTAACCTGAGGCTGAGCCTCTGCGCAAATGCAGTTACATAGAAAGACCTTTACGAGTCGTTCGACCCCTTCTTCCAATTTTGAGAGCTAATGTCATCGGGCCCCTTGGTGAATACTCAATACTATCATGCGAACGGGCGCTTACCGACAGAGACCATAAAGAGCATTGCGTGTACAGTGGATGTGGATATCATTACATTTTGCTGCAATCAAAGGTACAAAGTGCATCCATCCACAGATCTGAACAAGGAGCATCTCTGCAGAGATGTTGAGCAGTGCTAGATGAGTACAGGAGCGTGCCGCTGAGGATTACAGTGATCATGGTGCTCTGTCCGCCGTGAGGCGTGGCAGAGGAGAAAGCAGTTGGCGAACGATACTGTGATCAAGTAGATGATTTCAAATCCAGTTCGAAAACATGATCCAGATAGACCCCCAGTATAGGGGAAGTTGTTTGAGTAGGCGCAGAGATGATGCCGGCTGGTTAGTTGTACTGAATCCATGCCTTGAACAGTGAGTGACTTACCTCTTACTATAGATGCGCTTCTCGCGTCCGCTCCTTGAATCCAATCCAAAGTGCCCGTGTCAGCAATGCGTGTGGACTTTATAGTCGGAGTAGTCGTAGATCGAGATTGTCCGTCGGAAGTTAAAAGTTTGTTGTCCCGACTTATTGCCGAATATATGTAGTGATTTTTTTTTGGCCTAGCGTTCTGCAAATGGCTGTAAATATTTTTCTGCTGTCACAGCCATGCCTCGTGCTATCTGAGCATGCCTCATTCACCCATACGCTCGATGGTAACTTCGTCGATAACGCTGGTCGTACCCTTCTACTGCGTGGAGTGAACCTATCTGGTTCATGCAAGGCACCCGTGAACCGGCGTTCCCAGGTTCTAGATGGATTTTGGGAAGAGGCAAAGACAGGCTGTGAGAATTTCGTAGGCCGACCGCTGAAGCTGGATGACGCGGACGAGCACCTCGCCCGCCTGTGAGGTTGGGGTTTCAATATGTTGCGTTTTCCTATAACTTGGGAAGCCCTAGAACATGCAAGACCATAAGTACTCGATCCATGTCGTCTCCTAGCTCGTGGTAACAATGATTTTTTTTTACTAGGGGGAAATATGATTATGAATTTATGGATGATACAATAGAGATACTGCGGAAATGCAAAGCGCACGGGTGCAAAGTTTATATGAATCCTCACCAAGACACCGTGAGCTTCTTCGCAAAAGCATTGCTACTTTTTTCTAATTCGCCGTTCAGTGGTCTCGTTTTTCAGGCGGTTCACAGCCATAATTCACTGCGAGTACCCCACTCCCGCGTCTCGCAACCCCGCAAAATTGCCTGCCATGATATGGTCAACAAACTACGGCAGACTTGTCTCGCACACCATGTTCGCGCTCTTTTTCGGTGACTCCACGTTCGCCCCGAAATGCATCCTCGACCGGGTGCACATTCAGGAATACCTTCGGCCGCACTTCGCAAACGCTTTTGGAAAGTTGGTGGAACGAGTAGCAGCAGCTGGAGACCCTCTTGACGAAGTTGTCATTGGGTGGGATAGCATGAACGAGCCAGCAGAAGGGCTCATCCCATGGAATGACCTCAATGCGTATCCGGTGGCGCAGGGTTCCACATTCAAGAAGGGCACCGTTCCGTCACCAGCGCAGAGCTTCCGTCTCGGTATGGGCCAGATGCAGACTCTTGACAACTACACTTTTGGCTCTGAGTCCTAAACGTGATAGCAGTGTCACTATCGACTCTAACGGTGTCAAGGCATGGTCAGATCCCTCCACGGAACCCGGAGGCATTCACCCACGCTGGGGCTGGAGACGCGACCCTGGTTGGACGTTCGGTACATGCGTACGGGCTTTGCACGATGTATGGGACGTGCAAAGTGGATATGTTACGCAGCCAGATTATTTCGCACGTGTTCCAGGAACAGAAGCGCCCGTACATTTCCTGCGCGCCTTCTTCCTTTCCCAATGTGCTCTTCACCTGAAGGCAGTTAGAGCGCACCATCCATAAGCCATCGCGTTCGTGCAGCCCCCCATGTTTGTACGGCTTCCCCCGATACCAGAAGAGATATAGCAGGGCAGGGCATGTTATTCAACACATTATTATGATGGCCTGACACCCGTTACACGCCACTGGAACTAGTTCAACGCTGATGCCCTTGGTCTCCTGCGGGGAAAATATTCAACCCAAATACAAGCTTTGTGCATAGGTGAACGCGCCATATGGGACAGCCTTCAGAGCCAGCTCGGCTACCTGAAGGCAGACGCAACGCAACTAGGTGCGCTTCCACCTACCGGCCCAGCATGATACCCGACTATCATTGGAGAAATTGGGACGCCTATCAATATGGATGTCAAGCGCTCGTATGGGTACACCGACGGTGGCAAATACAAGGTTGATTACTCGCGGTAAGAGCGTGCGCTTGATGCGAGTTTGAACGCGGCGGACGGCGAGAACTGCTTGAACTAGACGGTGTGGACGTGCTGCCCCGATAGTTCACACCCTTGGGGGAATGGGTGGAACATGGAGGATCTCAGCCTATGGTGTAACGACTTGCGTGCAGGAGAAGTGGGAAGGGTCCCGGGCATCCAGACGCCGTTCAAATCGTCAATGGGTTCATTAGCGCTAGCATGAGCGTCGACTCTCAGCACATCAACTCTTCCAATATATCCTTCGCCTTACGCCAACTCTAGTGTCGAAGACGGCGAACCTGTGAAGTGCGATCCCGCCTCTCTCCTATCGTTCCTTACGAACTGTGCCACGTGCCGTGCGCGTTTTCTGTCGTCCGTAGCCAATAGCGGTCGTTGGTACCCCTACGAACATCCAGTTCGACATCTCCAAAGCGACCTTCCGCCTTACTCTCAAGGTCCACGCAGAAGATATACCTATTAATGAAGATGATGATATCGTACCTGGAAAGAAAGAACTGTACAAGGATAGTTCCCTGCCCACCGAAATTTTCTTGCCTTTCGTTCATTTTGCCTTGGATGCTTGCTTGAGCAAAGCCCTCGGTTCTGCCGCCCAGGACCAAGTCGACGATTTCCTAGACGTTGGGCAGGAATGGATAAGCCACAGTTCATCAGGAACAACGACACCTCGCGCGTACACGTCATCGACCCTCACTCTTCCTTTGACTTCTCAAGCTGCGCTGTCACTAATCATATTCAAGGATGACTTGTACGACATCGCTGTCACTGCATCCGAGGGCCGCCTGGAACTTCTCGCGTCGGAGCAGAGGCTTCTCTGGTTCTACACTGTGCTGACGGAGAAGGAAGACAAGGAGCTGACGATAGAAGTGCGCCGTTCATCAGGTGCCATCAAGGCCAACGCACTCGGGCTTGGATATACCACTTAGAGCAGAGCGAGAGATGGGTGCGCCGGATGGCTGGAGCAGGCGGGGTTGTTGGGCGAGGGGTGGTGCCTAAGGCTTGTTCGATCATGTGAAGTGGTGGTTATCTTATCTTATGCTCTTTCCTTGACACATCTAATGGCGGCGGTCAAACATTCTTTGTAGGAAATAATCATATGTATCGTATATACCTCTTGGCTGCCTCTCGTAAGATAGTACCATGGACATATTATTTTCATTTTGGAAAGCAGGTTGGCACTTGAGTAAACTCAGTAGTCATGATGCATCTACCCGCGTGCCCATACCACCAACGTCATTAATAGTCTGCTAGCTAAGATCACCGCTCTTACAAACAAGATACTCGAGACACGTGCGGAATAATCAGATGTCCTCCTGGGTTAAAGAAGAGCGCTGACTATTACCAGGAAGGTCAATTCACGGCTACAAGATCTTATGGTCACAAATATGTTGCTCATCGTCAATCTCAATGGAGGAACTTTTCGTTAAGTCTAACCCTAACCCTACATCCCACTGAGTCTCCACCATTAGACAGTCGAAGTTCCTTCTTACCTTGGTACTCTAAAGCATGCTAGCACGCGTTCTACATAGTGTTCAGCAAAGCCACAACTGTTGGTAAAGTCTGTTGTCACCGTTCTCGCACTGCTAATTGGGCTAGAATCACAAAATTTGTTCACACCTATGAGCAATGACTGCATCAGTAGTAAGTCCTGGTCCTTGCTGGTCTGCACTCTAACTGAGCATCGCTAATCGACATACTGAAAGCTTGCCTTGCAACTCCAACCGCCGAGTCGCCTACCCTGTCTGCCAGTATACTTATTAAAACGGAATATTCATCTGGACGGTCTACCACTGGCAATACTGCCGTCTGTCCTGGTCCGATGACCCGCACCTGTTCACAGGCGATCATAAATTCACCAGGGTCGCAGCGGATGGTTTGGAGCACCCTCTATGATGGACGGAAGAATGGATTCGATAGGGACTGAGCTGAACGGAAGTATATTAACGGTGCGTCCCTCGTCATGAGCCCAATCGATCCCTATACTAATCTAACCTCTATTCCCTATCCCGCTTGTCAACTTATTTAGGCGGTACCTAGGTCGAGCCTACACCCAAACCTACACTTCATGGTGCTCTTACATATTCCCGCCTCATTTCCTGTCGGTGTGGCTTGCTGTCCACCTCGTCCCCGCTCGTTTATTCTTGTCGATACGCGAAATTGTGTTCAACTATGAGACAATAATACAATACTATGATTGCCTTTTCAAGGATCTGTCTGCTTTGGGTTCACGACGCTCTCCCCGAACGTTCATGTACACGACTTGATTCACCCGGGCGGCGTGATGTCCTGACGAGCGTCGACAGGGTTGTCAGTCGTGTCCGTCGTCACGCCGCAGTCAAGTCGCTCCTGAAAGTAAGAATAAACAACGATCACTTTGACGAGCGCGAGTACATTTCACAATGTAGAAAACGGTATAACGAGAGCGGTAAAAGGGGTGTTGAAACCCGATAGTACAGTCTGCGACACTCAGCAGTTGAAGCTGGAGTGCTCGGTATAGTAGTACATAGCATTGGAATGAACATCGAAACTTGGAAAGCAAGAGACAGCGGTCTGCACCACTCAGTGCTCAGTATCATAGTGGCACAACATGGCATAGAGCATCGTCTACTTCCTCGCTGCCAAGTCCTTTGCTGCAGGCGACTGGTAAACAGTGTCGGGTTCGATACGAGGCGAGGGACTTACACAGGCGATTTTCAAGAATGAACTTGAGAATCTTCTTCTTCAACTCCTCTTCCTTGTAACCCCGACCAGCAATTTCCGTCGCGACTTTCTTCACAGTGACAGCCATAGGAGATTTCACGTAATAGTCCACGGCGGACTTGATGAATTCCAGTTGCTCGTCATGCTTGAGGAAGGCGGCGTATTCGAGGACGATGATGGTAGCTGCCTCTTGTGATTAAAATGGTAGCTGACCATGCATTCAGAAACGAACCAATGCCGGTCTGAATGATATTGCTCGTAGAAGTAAACCATGATCCCTTGCCAATCTATTGCAAACTCTTGAATGATGAGGATCAATGCGGGAACTTTAGTACCTACTACAGGCTGAAGGACAGGCACAAGTCGACCTTTCCGGGTTTTGATCTACTCATTGAAGCGGATGAAAGGTGTTAGCACCGGAAACAAGTCAAACAGAGCACTTGCCTCCTGGAACAAAGAATTGTCAAATTCCTGATGTGGCATTCTCGAAAGTTATGAATGAACTTACATTCTGTGCAATTGATAGTCATGAATGGTCAAACAGCGGAAGATAGTGGTACCATGATCAAATGACTTACAAACTATCAGGGAGAGAGAACCAGGTTAGTGCTGCTATAAAATGGTGAATCTATTGAATGGACATACGAGCTATGTGAGACCAACAAAATCATGCATCAGTGGGCAGAGGTAGATTTAGACAGGAAATATCATACCTCCTATAAGGGATAAGAATCATTAGGTGTTACAGGTTACAACATATGACTCACAGGCTAGAGAGAAAGTGCCGATCAGAATTGCCACATGGTGAGTATGCAAATGACTCACATTCTAGGTAGGGTATCAGAATATTGAAGATGAGTGACCATGGGAGAAGGGCTTGAAATTACTATGGATACTCAACAAACTATGTGTTGGATAGTAAGCAACAATGACTCAATATGTCTAACAATAATGAAGAGAGGACTTACATTAGGCTATGAATGGCCAATAGATATCATGATGTCAGTATGATCTCTATGAAATATACAATAAAGAGACCAACCACCTGTCAAAGAACCAGTAACAGCAAGACATGGGCATATTATTACAATGGAATCAGCTTAAGAAGCCAAGGGACTTACTGGTGCCTATCAACAGACCAGCAGGGAGAAAGCATTAGGATCATCAGCAAGGGTTCAGGATGAGCAGCCGTCAAGGTACTGACCTCCTGTCAACAGGGCAGCAGCAGCAAGGCATCAGGATGATCAGCAAGGGTTCAGGATGAGAGACCATCCAGGCACTTACAAACTGTCAACAGGCCAGCAGCCACAAGGGATGGGGATGATCAGCATGGGTTCAGGATGAGAGACCATCCAGGCACTTACGTCCTGTCAACAGGCCAGCAGCCACAAGGGATGGGGATGATCAGCATGGGTTCAGGATGAGAGACCATCCAGGCACTTACCTCCTGTCAACAGGCCAGCAGCCACAAGGGATGGGGATGATCAGCATGGGTTCAGGATGAGAGACCATCCAGGCACTTACGTACTGTCAACAGGCCAGCAGCCACAAGGGATGGGGATGATCAGCATGGGTTCAGGATGAGAGACCATCCAGGCACTTACGTCCTGTCAACAGGCCAGCAGCCACAAGGGATGGGGATGATCAGCATGGGTTCAGGATGAGAGACCATCCAGGCACTTACGTACTGTCAACAGGCCAGCAGCCACAAGGGATGGGGATGATCAGCATGGGTTCAGGATGAGAGACCATCCAGGCACTTACGTTCTGTCAACAGGCCAGCAGCCACAAGGGATGGGGATGATCAGCATGGGTTCAGGATGAGAGACCATCCAGGCACTTACGTACTGTCAACAGGCCAGCAGCCACAAGGGATGGGGATGATCAGCATGGGTTCAGGATGAGAGACCATCCAGGCACTTACGTACTGTCAACAGGCCAGCAGCCACAAGGGATGGGGATGATCAGCATGGGTTCAGGATGAGAGACCATCCAGGCACTTACGTACTGTCAACAGGCCAGCAGCCACAAGGGATGGGGATGATCAGCATGGGTTCAGGATGAGAGACCATCCAGGCACTTACAAACTGTCAACAGGCCAGCAGCCACAAGGGATGGGGATGATCAGCATGGGTTCAGGATGAGAGACCATCCAGGCACTTACGTTCTGTCAACAGGCCAGCAGCCACAAGGGATGGGGATGATCAGCATGGGTTCAGGATGAGAGACCATCCAGGCACTTACGTACTGTCAACAGGCCAGCAGCCACAAGGGATGGGGATGATCAGCATGGGTTCAGGATGAGAGACCATCCAGGCACTTACAAACTGTCAACAGGCCAGCAGCCACAAGGGATGGGGATGATCAGCATGGGTTCAGGATGAGAGACCATCCAGGCACTTACAAACTGTCAACAGGCCAGCAGCCACAAGGGATGGGGATGATCAGCATGGGTTCAGGATGAGAGACCATCCAGGCACTTACGTACTGTCAACAGGCCAGCAGCCACAAGGGATGGGGATGATCAGCATGCATTCAGAATCAGAAACCAACAAGGTACTTACTTTCTGTCAACAGGCCAGCAGTAACAAGGCATCAGGATCATTAGGATGGTGTCAGCATGATAAACTGTTGGGGTACTTACCCACTGTCAACAAGCCCATGGAAGCAAGCCATCAGAATTGTCAATACTGGTTGAGTTTTGCAAACTACAATCTTACCAGCTATCATCAAACAACAACTACAATCAAGGACAACACATCAGCATGTCTACAGTTTTAGCCATGCAATATTTACCATTAGTTAGCACCATCACCAAGACATCATCATATTCAATCAATCATTGTCTTACTTTGAGATATGAAAACCACTTAGCAATGTCATACTGGTACCGTTCAAGATCAGTCAGACGCAGCAAGGATTGCTTATTTGCACAATCAACAACCATTCTAGATGATGTTAGAACACGACTATGTGGACACACAACTACACAACTCACTCGATGGCACACTTGATACAAAGTTCTAGGTTTGACTGTTGTGTTGAGACCAAGCACAAGCGTAATTCTTCGTCATCCAATGCAAAAGTAGTGTGCTCTAGTAGTGCATCACAGCCTGTATCCTCTTTGTTCATATCTTGGATGACCCACGTCAATTTATATACCAGACAAAACAATCTCGAGCTGGATGACTCACTCTGCAAGCGCACATGGCACTTCGGACGTGCACGGTTCTTGGGGGCATACAACCGATCCAAGACACCCGTACTCATGAATAGTTGTTCGACACGCTGGGCGATTTTCTCCAAGCGCTCTTCTTTCGACACCCCGATCAGTTGCTTCTTGATTTCTCCAAATGCAACTGGACGTAGGGCATCAAACTTGGTGAAGACCACAATTACAGGGACTGAAGAATGTCTATTTAGTCCAAGCATGACAAAGGTCATGTTCAACAAGCTCACCATTTCCAGTGTCGCATTCGGAGAAAAACTTCTCCTCTGACCGCTGGAATGTTCGGCAATGATCGTCCATCGGAACACAATACCTGTAGGACATCGACGAACGAGCACAGCATGCCAGGAGGGAGTCACTTACCACACAGCGTGGATTCGTTCCTCCAACTTTGTCGTGTTCGCGCGTTCTGCGATAAATTTCTTCATGTCCTCGAATTCTTCTACAGAGCCCGCTTCAAAACCGCACGAGTCGTGAAAGACGAAACCGGGATTGCTTTTGAATACCATCTCGTTCGTGATGTCGTGATTTCCACGCTGAGAGTCCATCAATGCACATGTACTTGTAGGACAGATGGTGCACACACCAATATCGAGCCTTCTACGACAGTGGCATCGATCTACTCACAAGTGATCAGCGCTCGACCCCCCGCATGGCGCAGAACATATCACACACCTTGTCTCCTTTGGCATTGTAAATCTCTGGCTTTTCCGTGGTGTTGCAAACCTTCTGAAGGATGGTCGTTTTGCCTGCGTTCGCCCTTCCTACGATCAGAACTCGAAAGCGCCCAAACGTCTTTCTGAGGTTCTGAGGGTCGACTTTTGGTGCCATCGGGAGATCTTGATGTGCGCGCTGAAAGCAGAAGTGGTCTGGTTTCTCGTACAAACAGTGGGGAGTAATACGGAACGGGATCGCAGCGAAATACGAGAGCGAATGGACACCAAGCATGCGCACCGATGGCTCATGACACAACATGTACACACGGCGTCTATCTCCCTGAATTAGACGACCGATTCTACAATTGCACCGTAAATGCACCATTTGCCAATCGTTCAATTGTCCGTGCAATGATGCGCGAAGACTAAGTACACGACAAACGATTTGAATTATAAGACCATTGATAGAGAGTCAGCTACGATGAATGATCAGATTATGGTGGAAATGAGAAATTACCGTCTTCCCTACCCCTCTCCTTGAAAAGAAGTGATATCAATTTCTGCGAAGGTGCAAGTGAGCTCGATCTTTCAAGGTCTTTCAGATGATGGGTCCTTGAGGCGTCTGTGAACGCAAGAGCATCTCAGGGCGTGCGTCCCCCTATGGAACGGGAGAGATCTCGTGAACCTCGACAGGTTCTCCATGTTCCTACCTTAGGAAATGGTGGCGCTAGATATGAATGCAGAAGCTGCACAGGCGGGTGTTGTTTGACCTCGGACATCGGCCACACTAGTCGATGCTGGGAGAAGGGCCGATGGAGCGGGCCGTGGTAGGTTGTAGGATCCGTAACTGGGGGTAGGATTGGTACATGTGCTCGGATGACTCAACAAGTCGACTGCTCATCGTGCTGTAGAAACGGTGCATATAATCAAAATATGTTATTGTGGAGTATCATGTAATACGTACTGGTAACCTTATGCTTGGATTTGGAGGGCTAGCGCGAGCTTACTAAATCTACCCCAGAACGTTCGGAAACCGACACCTGAGCAAGATGCACAACGTTTTCTTGCGACCTGACATAGGATCAAATTGCGGTTCTGTGCGCCACTGTTTCCCTTCGATTCTGCCCGCCCTGGTGCTCACCTTGATGAATGATATGCTGTCCAGGTCCTCGCACGCCAGGAGGATATATTATGGCATAGCGAGCTTCCTGGTATCTTTTGAGGGGTGAACCGAAACCATATTGCGGTGATGTAAGCGATGAAGTACATGGCCTGGTGCTGAAATTGCGAACGAACAAATGCACAGCCCCAAGTACAAGCTAGCTTCGAGCCCCGTGCAAAATAGCATACTTTGGCAAGGATACAGTGAATGCAAGGACTTGCGGTGCGCGCTAAGACTCACTGAGGTTTGAAAGATATTTGGGACTGCGCTTTGGATCCAGTCATTTCGGGGAACGTCGACAGAATCGCGGGATACCATAGTGCTGAGTGCTGGGGTGCATGGTGCGGGGCAGAGATAATCTCTGCTGGTATCGAACCTCTTCCTGGGTGGACTGTACCAATGTCGCAGATATCCAACGTCTTGTCCAATGAAGTGGACAGATTGAGTGTCGTATCGTCTCCAGCCTCCACGAGCAGTAATAGGCTACCATTTTGCTCCGGTAGTCGAGACTGTATGTGATGATCCCGCTATACTTATTATTTATTTATTTATGTTGTCAGTTGATCCTAGGTAAGGTGAAATACGCACTAAGATAGCATCGAGGTCAATATGGAAGCGCGACGTACTTCCCTGGAACGTCATTTTATTTATCGTTCATTGGGGCCATTGGCCCTATGTCGGATGATACAGCACATGTGTAGAGACCCACTCTTTACGGATGATCGTGATATACTTTATGTGCTATATGAAATATCTGCTAATGCGTAATGCTCACATTTTGCACAGGTGCCTACCGGACTTGTAGCTGTGGTGTTATTTATGATCACAAGTTCACTGTCTTTCTGGCTTCACTTCGCCAAAACTCCACTTTACGCTCGCTATCAGACTTGGTGTCAGCGATGACGAGACTTAACGAACCAAAGTGCATTGAACTGCCTCGGAATTCGAACCGGACTGATGTCCCGCCCCCCTTCTCGGCCGCAGAAATAATACCGTTTATACTGGTCAGTCCGTGCTCCAACAGTCGATCGGTGCTCATAGAACACCTACAATTATTCCACTGCACGGTAGAAGCAAACGCCGGACGTTCAGTCTAGGTCTGGGTACAAGTGAGCGCAAGAATAAATGCACCTTGATCCAGCATTGATAGGTACAGTCTCCTTCACTTGCTCTGCGAGACGTTGTATTGAAGATGCAGAATCCATCTTTCTACCAAAAGGTGCATAGTCTGCACCGCCGGTCACGAAGAGTGTACTCAATTCGGCTTTGGCGCGACCGATGATGATGTTGTCAGTTACAGGTATCAGTAGATTAGTGAAACATGATGATAGAAAGGGGGCGCAATAAGAAAGAAGTGAAGAAACCCAGGTGACGACCTGCCTCTGCGGATATAAAGGTCTGCGCTCGAGCCACGATTGATGTCGTTTCGTTTTGAATGCCACATTAGCAGGAGAGGCTCTCTCACAGAACGAACGACGTGGTGGATATTCGTGAAAAAAATAAACATCGAACGCAAAGTGATAGCATCGTTGTTTAGCAAAGAGCTTAATCTTGAGTCTAATAACGTGCAGACCACCTTTGAACCGGGCTGCGACCTGATTGACTCCACAGAGACGGAGCTGATAAGGTTGCTATAACCACCACGCTGAGTGTGCCAGAGAACCCGGCTGGTGAAACCAATCAAGTCAGAGAATATAAATAAAGGCTTTGGCTCGATATAACTCAGCTAATATCAGATAAGCGCGTGCATATACGTTGCGAAGGTCCGAAGGATAAGTGCAAGGTACCAAGTTACAGAAACTGCGATCACTGAGCACTATCATGAAGGCCCGGGCTCCATCTACCACTCTTCATCCAGTTGCAACCCCACCATGCGCGGCCCAATCTTCGTTCTCAGGTCCTGGACTTCTTCAGCCTTGATGGAGTGGCGCTCAATCAATCTGACAATCTCATCCAGTGCATCGTCTCCTCCAGTACGGGTTAAAGGTACATGGGAGTGAATTGCTGAATGAACACTGCTTTTCCCCTGCCTCATCATAGGCTTTGATAGCAATTTTGATGACGCGACGAGAGATGGGCCCTGTCGGCGCCAGCAGGAACGCAATCTGCATGATACATGTTAAATCCACGATGTACGCCATAATCCGCCGTAAGGTCATGTTTCTAGAAGCCATTCTGAGCACGTTGCAAATAGCGAAATAACGCTTCACTCACGTCTGTTGATAGATGTCATAGACCCATTTAGCCATGACCATCCCTGCGGCAATGGGTGCAACGATCGGTAGAAACGGAGCTGCCAGTGGCGTCATGATACCTATTATTGCCCCGACCACGGTGAGGCCAAATGTACTGCCAATACCTCCATAAACTGAAAGCATCTCACAGTACAACAACTCACAAAGATCCCGCTGTGTTCGGAAAGTCGTCCCTGTCTAGATCTTGTAGAATCAGCTCTTGGAACTTGCCACTGGCCAAGTGCTTTGCAAAACACGTCAGCAACCTGAGATATTAACCCATACAAGATAGGCATCTTACGCAGTGAGGGTCATTGAAGTTCCATACGGCAATGACGTCCTTGTGGATCACAGACAAACAGTCCTTCATGGTGAAGCCTGCGAAGTTCATACTCGAGCCGAGACCTCTCCAATATCCTAAGAATTCAAAAGTCACAAAATGGCGTCGAAGACTGTGACGAGACTAACTTTTCCTACCGATGCTGTGAAGAGTAAAGTGTGAAATAAGGCTCTACCAAAAGTATAGCGATCGTGCATACGCGATTGATGCCTTAACTTTAAGACCAATGTCTACTCGTTGGGCTATCATCATAGCCAATGCCGCTTCTGAGGCGACGAATTTTTCCACGTTTGTAGTTGTGAGATCAATCAGCTCTCGTACAGTATTTTCGTACCCATCCGTTGCTGTCAAGGTACATTAGAATCACAGGCTAGAGAAGGCGAATGCCCCTCACTGGAAACAGTTGCATGCAGGATATCACTTCCAGCCACATCCATGAGCGGCTTGATACACAGATTATTCAAAAAGTCTCTTTTGAACTGTTCGAGCGCGGCTTCATCACATCCTTCCAAATCCATGGCTTCGAGCTCCAGTGCGTCGAGAAAAATATCGTGCTTGGTGAAGACAACAATGATCGGAACTACAGTTTGGAACATGAGTTACGAGAGACAAGAGGTAAACGATGCGCACTATTGCCCAGAATTGCCTTCCTCGATTCTAGAAACTCCTTGACTCCGTTCTCAAACAACCGTCCATCCGCATGAGGTATCGAGAGGCAGAGCCTTGAACCAGTGTCAGCACGGCAGAGTGGCAGTGGCAACTAGAACATCATACCAAACCGCGTGGATTTTGTCCTTCAGAGCGGGCATTTTGCGTCGGCAGTCGATAAACTCTTTTGCAGCCGCAAAACTGGCGCTGTCGCCAGCTTCGAATCCCTCACTATCGTGGAGGACAAACCGCCCGTTTTGGGGCGCGACGAACTCCCGATTGATATCAGCTACGCCTCGCGAATGTCCAGAGACATGCTGGGTGGGCGAGTGTCAGCATCTGTCGTCCACGGTACTAATTCTTCGACTTAACCACTTCGTCTATCTTAAATGCCTGGTGGATCAACGATGACTTGCCAACCCCAGTCTACAAAGCGGGTGCGTGAGCGATCTATGGTTGAAGACAGTGATCCGACAGACCTTCCCTATTACCAGTAGTCGGAACCTTGGACAAATCTCTAGAACATCACTGCTAGTCGGCTGCAGCTGTCTGGTATGGACACTATCGCTGATAGGACAAGGATGCTAGTTTGTTTTTTGAGACAAGATATCTTCAAATATACTGACGATATTGTAATGACGACAGTCATCTTCATCTTCTTTCTAGTCATCTCGTGCACTGTAACATCAAGCTATCAACTTAATGCGACACGATCGGAGACGGGTTGGTTCACCTCGTTTACCATCTTGATCCACTATATCGGACAAAATGTCTTGTCTGTCCAATGGAAACTTCACGATACTCTTCCACGGAAGTACGCCCATAGAATGGTGTTGACAGTGTACCAACAACGAAGCTGGCTCAGTGGTCACCGCACTGTGGTAAACTATTCAGACCGAATTCCTGGGCAACTATAGATGGGACTCACATGGCGTGATCGAACTTTGCACTAAGTTCTTTGTCTTTGCCCGAGCCGCGGAGGACTTCCCGTCGCTGTGAACCAAGCTCCAACTCGACAAATTCGACTATCTTTTTCGAAGCATCGTCGACCTGGATAACAATACCTAAGAAGTAAGATGTTTAAGGGTGAGATACTCGGTAAATGAGAGATTCTTACTGGAAATGTGGAGATGGACAGAGGAGGCAGCTACGGCGGCAGTGGTATAAGTTTCAGACATCGACTTTCCAGTGAACAGGAGGAGGGAATGGATGACAGCCGCGAAGGCACGCGAACATAGTATAATCGCACGCTGGATGGGCGCTTCGACAGTAGCACAAAAGTTAGACTAGCCGAAGAATAGCTTGACTAGCTAAGCAGATGGTTTTGATTTCCGATCGGCTTGACTAAGCAAGATTGAGCAGCCACTGCCAGTAGAGTTGTCAGAATGTAAGTATGATGGTGTCATTCTGGAGTGGGGAATGTATACTTATCCTCATCTTTTCAATTATTCAGCACTGTGCGTTGCTTTCCAAGCTCTCGGTGGGATGCTGTACGCGAAGGCTACATATTACCTATTTGTGCTGAAATAGCCTTGAGCAGATACCAACACCTCGACAGCTCTCGGAGCACCTGATGCTGTGGTACTCATGCATGATATTACTGTTACTGTAGTCTAGACCTCATGCATGTTCTACTGCTATCCTAGTCCACAATCCATGCATGATGTACATATAGTCATGCATGATGACCATGCCTTGCATGGCATGCTAAGCATCCTCATGCACCACCGCATTTTTTTGACTGTGGGAACTTTGTCACTACATCCAAAACATATCCATTTCTGGTCATCTCCTGGATCTCAACATTTCCCACACTCCTCCCAAGCATATTCCTGCCCACCACCATACCATATCCACCTATCCACTGTAGATAAGTATTAGTATAGGCTATGTACATATAATAGGTCAGAATATAACGCATTTTTGTCTGTTTTTGTACCAATACAAGCTCCAGAGACCTGTACATATCATACAGGAAAAACATATCAAAAACACATCCGCATTTTTGTCCCTTCAATTATATAATGTATTAGCACACTAATTATGTGCTTTTTAGTATATATGAGTCTATTCTACCGCTTGTTTGACCCTCTAAAGGTCCCTACACCACTAGATGTAGCATGCACACAAAAAATATCAAATAGCTTCGCATTTTTTCAGTTTAAGCTATATTGTTGAGACTTACAAGCCGAGAACATGCGTGCTTACAAATCATAAGTAGTGGACTTGTTTTTTGAGTTTCAGAGAAAAAACATAATATATAAAGTATCTAGGAGATTTCCGCATAATTATCATCTTGCGCTCCTATTCTCGTCGTCTGCTTCTATCAGAACACGCATCACAACTCTCCAGTCATAACCTTAATCTTAATAGGTTATGAGCCCTGACGTGCGCAAATAAGATTATAAAACATATATCAGACGAGATCTAACCAAAAACAAACCTCCAAAATGACGGACCAATCTGCCGGTTCCTCATTGTCGTCGTTGTATTGGATCAAGCATTTGAACGACTCCAATTGGCTGGGCTGGAAGCACCGAGTCAAAGCCATTTTGTTTGAGAAAGGAATTGAGGGGTACGTTGAAGGAACTATCCCCAAGCCTACATGAGGCCCAGACCCTGTGTCGGCACAGAGGGAAGCTGACATAGCAAAGTGGGAGATGCAAGACCGTAAGGCCCAGACTGTGATTGAGCTGTCAATAAGTGATAGCCAAATGATTCACTTAGCTGGAGCCACAACGGCAAAAGACATGTGGGATCAACTGAAGACTGTGAAAGAATCACGAGGCAAACAGGCGATCACCACATGGCGGCGGAAGTTCTATAGAACTGTCACTGACGAAGGCGATGATGTCCCCATGCATGTCAAAAATATGAGGGAGATACAAGAAACCTTACATATGATGGGAAGTTTGGTGATGGAAGAAGACTTCTGCACTGTACTTATTTCATCATTACCGGAATCTTGGGACACCTTTACCACAACGTACCAGATTAGGATGGGTGAAACAAAGACCATCACATCACATGAGTTAATTTCCCTTATCTTGGAGGAGAACTCGCGTAGAATTGAAAAGAATGGTAAAGGAAAAGGAAAGGAGAATGCCCTCACTGTCAAAGGAAGGAACCTGGGAAAGAGGAAGCGAGAAGATGTGAAGAAATGTCGGATCTGTAAAAAGTCTGGCCACACCGAAGATGAGTGTTGGTTCAAGGATAAGCAATGCTCTAACTGTGGAAAAGCGGGACACACCAAAGAGAATTGCTGGAGCAAGGGTGGAGGAAAGGCGTGGCAAGGCCCATCTAAATTCCCTCCCAAGAAGCGCGGAAAAAATGACAATGCTCACGTCGCAGAAGACGTAGATGACATTGCAAATAACGTGCAATATGAGGAGGAAGATGTTGCCTTTATGGGTGAAGAGATGCAGGTCGATCCAATCGAGGTCGAGAACCAGACAACAGTCGAGGTCAACGATCAGATTGAAGACGAAGACCAAATTAATGTATCTAATAATAGTGATGAATTCGAGAAGCTGAGCTATTACGATTGGCTTGCAGACTCAGGAACAACATCACACATTACTAAGATTTGATCCGCATTGACGGATTATGTTCCATTAAAAAGTCATAAAGTCAGCGGGATAGCTAATGAATCCCTTAAAGCTGAAGGATGAGGGACAGTCGAACTAGTAAGTACAATAAATAAGCAGCAGGTAATCTGCAAGCTTAAGAATGTCCTATATGTACTGCGTGCCTCAAATAACCTTGTGTCTATTACTCGCTTAGACAGAGAGGGAGGACATGCTATGATGGGCAATGGTGTAGCAACCTTAAAAGTGCGTGGAGGACGCACAATTGCCAAAGGGAAGCTTCATAATGGGCTATATTTATTAGAAACTCGGGCAAAGTTACAACCAGTAACTAAAGTACATACTGCTCGAGAAGATAAACCTGTAGATTGGCTTACCTGGCATAAATGATATGGGCATGTAGCCTTTAGCGGTCTTAAAAGACTGCACAGAGAAAGATTAGTAGAAGGTATGAATATTAATGAAAACTCATCTATGCCACAGTGCGAAGCCTGTATTCAGGCAAAGCAGACATGTGATTCATTTCCGTGTGATGCTGATAATTGTTCCGGATCACTCGGAGAACTCACGCACAGTGATGTGTGGGGTCCAGCCAGAGTACAGTTGATTGGTGGATCTAAATATTATATCTCATTTATCGATGACTGCTCCCGAAGAAGCAGTGTCGAGTTCATGAAACATAAAAATGAGGCTTCCACCAAAGTCAAACAATATGCGACGTACCTGAAGAAGCGCTGGCAAAATGAACCTAAAAAGTTCCGAGTAGATAATGGAACGGAATACGTGAATAATGACCTAAAAACCTGGTGTAAGAACGAAGGGATTGAGCTAGAGACAACTGCACCATACTCACCTGAGCAAAATGGAGTGTCTGAAAGACTCAACCGAACATTAACAGAGTTAGCAAGGGCAATGCTGATCGAAAAAGACTTACCGGAGTCTTTATGGGCAGAAGCGGTATCACATGCCGCTTATATCTGAAATCATGCACCCACGCGAGCGTTACAAGGCGCAATGCCAGAGGAACTGTGGAATGGTAAAAAACCTAATGTAACTCACCTACAAGAGTTTGGTGCACCGGTATATGTGCTCCAAGAGGGCACAAATCAATCTAAGATGAGTCCAAAGTCAGTAAAGCAAATCTTTGTAGGATTTGTGGACGGACCACGAGCAATAAAATATTATAATACCCGTACGCACCAAATTCGAGTGTCAAGGAACTATAAGTTCCTGACAAATATCGTGCCAAACACATCTGATGCACAGCGCGAGGGGGAGTTAGATAGGATGGACGCGCAGGCACCAGAACAAACTGACGCAGTACCACCTAAAAATAAAAAAGAAGACCATTCAGAACAGAATCAGCGTGATGATCTGATGGGAGAAAACGAGAACTCATCCTTAAAAAGGAAATGTGTTCCTGAAGACGACGGAGAACTGCCTAGAAGATCAAAAAGACAAACAGTAAGACATGACTACCAGCAACTAAATGACCCAGAGCCAGAATGGGCTTACCTCAAGTGTGAAAGACATGAACTTGAGGATGAACTCTATCAAGAGGATATAGCTCTCGCAGCCTTTGTTGAAAATGGCAGCTTCGAACCACACGAGCCTAGATCATTAAAGGAAGCACAATCATCAGATGACTGGCCAAAGTGGGAAGAAGCAGTGCGAGCAGAACTTACCCAATTAGAGCAAATGGGCACCTGGGAACTGGTAGATCCTCCGAAAGATCGCACCCTAGTCGGGAACAAATGGGTCCTCGTAAAGAAAACTAATAAAGAAGGGGAAGTGGTTAAATATAAGGCACAGTTAGTAGCCAAGGGGTACTCACAAATACCGGGCATGGACTATACAGATACCTTTGCCCCGGTAGTACACCTAGAGACGATACGTTCAGTAATGTCCACAGCTGCATCCCTTGATTGGGAGGTGCAACAGATGGATGTAAAAGGGGTGTACCTTAATGGCATATTAAAAGAAGAAGTATATATGGAGCAACCCGAAGGCTATAATGATGGGACCGGCTGAGTATGCAGACTGTGAAAAACCCTCTATGGGCTAAAACAGTCAGGCCGAGAATGGAACCTAGAGCTGAATAGCTGCCTGACGAGTATTGGATTCAAACAACTGAAATCTGATCCATGCACATACATCAGAAAGACCGTGGATGGAACGGAAATAATTACCGTATGGGTCGATGACCTATTATTATTTGCGGATCACTCGAGCCTGATGGATCAATTAAAGGCACAACTTAAAAATATCCTAGATATTACTGACCTAGGAGAACCAAGGAAAATTGTTGGGATAGAGATCACATGAGATAGGCCTAAAAGGTCAATCCGACTCACGCAAACCAAATACATTGAATCTATCCTAGCAAAACAAGGTCTTCAGTCATGTAATTCAGTAGGCATGCCACTAGATCCGAAGATCATACTCGAGAAAGAAGCGACTGACCAAGAAGGCAACCAAAGTAATGGATATGCATCATTGATCGGATTGTTGATGTATTTGGCGGTAGCCACGCGTCCAGACATAGCATATGCTATACAAAGACTTAGTTCATTCACTGCAAACCCTGGATT